GTTTACAAAGATTTCCTTTACCCCAGGGTTACAAAAATATTTACCTATATCTTCTACTATTTTTTTAAGGTTCTCTCTTTTATATTTAAATTTTTAATCCAACTGAAATTTATTTTAAGGTGTGAAGCCCATTTTATGTTTCTTTGGAGCCAATGGTGTGTTATTTTTCATTAGCTTCCTTTGCGTCCTTTAAATTCTAAGTATCTGCTAAGTTTCTCTCAGTACTGTTGGGATAATGATGTTATACTTAAAATTTCTTGATCTCTTTAATGGTGCTGCTGATCTTACTTTTTTTTAAAAGGAACTTTGTGCCTTAATGTTTTCCCTGGATTGGATTAAAGCAAAAACAGAACTCGTGGGCCCTGCTCATCTGATTCATGAATTTATGGAATACAGGCATATATTGGATAAAAAGGTATATATTAATATGAAAAATTAGGGCTTAAGGGACATTTCATTTTGACATTTAATTCTAGGTTTATTGGTGGGGATGAGCAGAATAGAAGGGTGAAGAGACAATTTCCCTACTTTAACCTTCGATTGTTCTAATTAATCTGCTTCCTAGTCTACTGGCAATGTAAGTAGGATTGGGGTTTGAAAGTTGGGAAAGTAAGGTGTTCAGTGGTTTTTTAAAAAAAGAATGTGTTAAGAAATATGTTTGATAATGATATCCTATGTTTAAAAGCCAGAAGAGAATCACTATATATTTGTTACCTAATGGTTGGCTGTTCAATTTTAGTTCATATAGAACATATTTCATTTAAGCTTTTGAAGTAGCAAGATCACAGAAACAGAAAAATGTCAGATCTTGGCTCTGATTATATTTCTAAGAGATTTCAGTTTATTCATAGGATTGTGCAGTCTGTGAGAATTTTCAAGAGTTTTTATCTTTAAATGGACACCTTCTTGGACGACAGCCATTTCCTAATATTGTACAACTGGGTCTCTGTGAACCGGAAACTTCAGAAGTTTATCAGCAAGCTAAGCTGCAGGCCAAGCAGGAGGTCGATAACGGAATGCTTTACCTGGAATGGATGTAAGTAGGTTAGGAGAGAAACCAAAGGGAGCAGAGCACTAACTATGTCATTATTTTTCAGGTAGTGAACAAGTTCACTCCAGGAAGATTTAACTACTTTGGAAAGGCTGGAACTTTTAATAAGCATTCTTACTTATTGAAAAGTTCCAGAGAAGTAAGCATAGGAGAAAACTATTGTATCTTCAAAGAGTCCATAGAAATAGACACCTGTAAGGCATTTTGACAAGTCATCCTAGGTATTAATACCAAATGCTTGACTTACAGTAATCTGGTATACTGGTGAATAGCATGGGCTTTGAAGCCACAGACCTAGGTTTGAGCCTCAGTTCTGAAACCTAATAATTTTGTGATTTTGAAAAAGTTGTAGGTTACTCTTTCATATGTAAAATGGAAGGTTTCAGTGAGATCATGGCTATAAAGTAATTTGTACTTTGTCTTGCACGTAGCCCTAATTATAAAACCACTGAGTCGTGATTCTTCTCTCTCCTAAAGGAGCCTGTTCACTTTTGCTCTTTCCTTAATCTTATCAATTTGTGAAAAGGAAAGGATAAATTATTGTCTTTTTAATGCCTGTTATATACTACATAATCACATATATAATTCTATTTAATCTTCAACCTTATAGGTAAATATTACTTGCCCTATTTTACAAATGAGAAAATTGAGGCACAGAGAGATTGTGGCTTGTTGAATGAAATTTAAACCCTGGGTCTGTCTGGTTTTATTTTCCATGCTCTTTCCATATGCCATGCTTCTCTTATAGCTTGAAATAATAAATATGAATGGTTGTCTTTTCACATGTGTAATTTATATCTAAATTGAACTCCAGGTTGGTATCTGCCAACTTTGTGGCCCTCAGCACTCTTTCCAAATAAGCCAGGTTGCCATAAATGAGTCTTTTGATTCAGTTTAGTTCAAAAAACATTTGCGTTTCTTTAATGTGCTAAGCAATATTACTAGGTGCTAAGGCTTTCCCCCCAAGGAGTTCATAATCTAGTAGTGAAGAAAGAAGTTTAAGCAGATAATTACAATATAATGTGATGAGTGCCACAACAGAAATATGGATAAAATAGAGGTAGAGCTGATAATTAATTAACTTGGATGAGTGAGAAATGCAGGGACGGTTCCATGAAGGAAGAGGTGGTATCTGAGAGAGTTTAAAATTTTTTTAGTTAAAATTTAATTTTTGTTGGTTTTATATTTATTTTAAAGTAATAGGGATCTAAAATGAAAATTCAAAGACTCTGCATCCCTCACTTTCCAGAGTTAACCATTCTTTAACACTTTCTTGGAAAGTAGAGGTTTTACTGTCTTCGGGAAGCAGCCCCCTAACTTACTGAAGCTAGGTTAGATCTGTATTCCAGAATACTCTTTGTTTACCCCATATCATAGGATTTGTCACACTTTATGGTGATTGTCTGTTTACTTGTTTTTTCTCATACTAGTCCCTATGTTCTATAGTATAGTATAGTTCGGAGGCAACAGACTCTGGTTCTAGACTGCCTGGGTTGAATCCCAGCTCTGCTATTAATCAGTTCTGTATCATTAGGGGAAAGTTATTCAACATCTCTTGACTTATAGTACTATTTCATAGCATTGTTGTGAGGATTAAATGAATGTGTGTGAGTATACAAATACACATATACATATAGTACCTACTACCGTACCTAATTCATAGAAAATGCCCAGTGAATATTAGTTGTTATTGAGAATAGCCTTTAGCATTTTGCCTGGTCTGTATAGTTGGTATTCTGTAGAAATTTGTTGAAGATCGAATGAAATCATGTTTTAGTTAGTGGCTCAAATACTTGGTCTGATCAAATAGGCATAGGTTTAGTTCTTATTCTCTTATGAATTATTGAATTTTTATTTTTATTTTTTCTTGCTGTTTCTTTTCTCCCATTGCATCAATTGCATTTCCACCTGTGACATTCTCTCATAGAATGGTCAGTAATTTATAGCTTTATTTATTTATTTATTTTTTTGAGACGGAGTCTCACTGTGTTGCCCGGGCTAGAGTGCCGTGGCGTCATCCTAGCTCACAGCAACCTCAAACTCCTGGGCTCAAGCGATCATTCTGCCTCAGCCTCCCGAGTTGCTGGGACTACAGGCATGCCTAATTTTTTCTATATATTTTTAGTTGTCTGATTAATTTCTTTCTATTTTTAGTAGAGATGGGGTCTCACTCTTGCTCAGGCTGGTTTTGAACTCTGAGCTCAAACAATCCGCCCGCCTCAGCCTCCCAGAGAGCTAGGATTACAGGCGTGAGCCACCGCTCCCAGACTGTGTACATTCTTAATAGCTTTGGAAGATGTAGTTATAATGATGTTTATGTTACGAAATTGTTTCTGTCTTCTGAAATGTTTAATTTGGGTTTCAGGATCTACATAAGAAGATGATCACTCAGTTTCAGAGGTATCACCAGCTACATACTCTTTCACCAGATCAGGAAGACTGCATGTATTGGTACAACTTTCTGGCCTATCACATGGCCAGTGCCAATATGCACAAAGTAAGATGACCCATTTAAAAATTCTTTTCTTTTATGTCACTTTCCTTTTTCCATATATATTGTGAATAAATATTTATTTCTGGTTTATTTTTTGTCTTAAATTTTGTTTATGTTGCTTTCTATTGTGTTGAAGATTTGAAGTTTTATGTAGTTAAATGTACCCGGTTTTTTTGGCATTTTGCTTTGGTGTCATGTTCACAAACAAGTTTTGTCCTATGATTAGCATTTTCTTTTATTAATAAAAATAGGATTATAGTCTATGTAAGTATTTTTGTTTTTGTTACCGTTTTTACCTGCAGTGATTTAAAAAGGTACCTATAGTATCTTTTTAAAAGGTAACTGTAGTAAATGAACCACCTCAAAATTAACTCTCATCTGACCAGTAGCTTTCCTTTATGGGCAGTATGGATTTGTTTATTAAGCTTTGAGAGGAAGTAGAGGGTGGGAAAGAATATTCATTCATTCAATGAATATTTATTGAGTGGTTGTTATGTACTGGTATTGTTCTTCATTGAGAGAATATAGCACGGGAACAAAGTCTCTCCTCTAATTGAGCTGATATTCTGAGGGGAGACAGACAATAAATAAGTTTATCATATGTCAGTAGGTAATTAAGTGCTCAGAAGAAGGACAAAGCATGGAAGGAGAAAGAAAATGACAATATAGGGGTAGAAACATCATGATTTGCTGTGGATTTTATGAGAGAAGAATCAAAGATGACCCCAAGCTTGTGCAATGGAAAGAATGAAGCTGCCATGAACTGAAATGGGGAAGTCTGGGGGAGGACAAATTTTTTCCTGCAAGGAAAGGGAAAGGTTAGGAGCTCATTTGGAATATACTTACTGTGATATACCTATTAAGACATCAGGGTGGAAATATTGAATAGGCAATTAGATATATGAATCTGGAATTCTGGGGAAAACTGTGGATGAAAGATAAAAATTCGGAATCATTAGTACAAGATGGTATTTGAAGTCCTGACTACCAACTAATTACTAAAAATGTTAACATTTTGGAAAACCGTATGTACTTTCAGTAATTTTTTTATGCTCAAGTATGTTATCTCTTAGTTACAAAAATAGTATATTGTCGTAGGCTGTTTCGTTCACCTAGCAAAATATATTTAATAATCTACATCAGAAGGGTGGTATTACAATAAACATCTCTGCCTGAATTTACTTAATTAAACTCTAATTATTGAACATTTAGGTTGTTTTCAGTTTTTTGCCCTTACAGTGTTATAACGAGCATTCTTGTTCATCTTTGTAGCTGTGTTGTTTCCTTGGAAAATTCCTAGAAGTGGAATTACTGGGTCAATGCATCTTGTTAGCTTTTGATATTTATGATAGTGTGGCAGGATTCAGTTTCTTTAGCCTTTTTTCTGATTTTAAAGGTAATGGTTTATTTTCTTCAGAAAAATTTAGAAAAAAACTAGAAAGAAGAAAAGATCATAACCTTTACTAATGCTTTTGTTTTCTAGATCATTTTGCTGCTTAGATCAACACACTTGTTCTTTAAAACCAAATGGGATCATAATAGAAATAGTCTTATATATTGTTTTTACCACTTAATTATATTTAATGGTCATCTTTTCATGTCATTTATATAGAGTGACATGATTTTTAAAGCTGCATACTATTTCATTGTATAGTTACATTATGATTGGCTAGTTGGGTGATGAATAATTAGATTGTTTAAGCATACTCATCTGGTTATTTTCTTAGGATACATTTTTATAAGTGAAATTTCTGTGTCCAATGGTGTGTATAGTTTAAATTTTAATACAGATTGCCAAACTGCCCTCCAGAAGGGTGCTCTGTTTTACATCACTACCAACAGTAGATGAGAGTGTTCATTTCCCCGATTCCAGCTAATGTTCTTACCACTCCTTTAGTCTTTAGAAATCTGATATTTAAAAAATGGAAAATTTTTGATGATTCACTTTGAATATTGGCAAAATTTTGGCCATAGGTACTTTTTAGTTTGTAAATTGGCTTTCATCCTTTGCTTTTACTTATTTTTTCTATTGGGGTGTTTTTCTCACTGTTTTATTAGAATTTTCTATAAAGAATATTAACCCCTCATCCTGGTTTATTTTTTGTCTTAAATTTAGTTTATATTGCTGCCTACTCTGTTGAAGATTTGAATTTTTGTGTAGTTAAATGCACTTTGTTTTTGTATTTTGCTTTAGTGTCATGTTTACAAAGATTTCCTTTACCCCAGGGTTACAAAAATATTTACCTATATCTTACTATTTTGTGGGAAGATTCTGTGTACATTCTTTTTTTTTTTTTTTGAGACGGAGTCTCACTGTGTTGCCCGGGCTAGAGTGCCGTGGCGTCATCCTAGCTCACAGCAACCTCAAACTCCTGGGCTCAAGCGATCATTCTGCCTCAGCCTCCCGAGTTGCTGGGACTACAGGCATGCGCCACCATGCCTGGCTAATTTTTTCTATGTATTTTTAGTTGTCCAATTAATTTCTTTCCATTTTTAGTAGAGACGGGGTCTCGCTCTTGCTCAGGCTGGTTTCGAACTCCTGAGCTCAAACAATCTGCCCGCCTCAGCCTCCCAGAGTGCTAGGATTACAGGCGTGAGCCACCACGCCTGGCCTATAGCTTTATTTTTAACTATAAAAGTAGTTTGACCAGGCCATGTTCAAAGAATGCTTTATTTCAGTCCTAGAAACTTTTTTTCCATGTTTTCTGTAGAAAGTTTTAGGTTAATGTAAGCTTAAATTTAATTGAGTTTCAGTTTTCAAAATTATTTGTTCACTCATTCATTTGTTATTTGATACTTTTTGGCCATGTACTGTATGCCCATCGTTGTGAAAGTCACTTTCTGAGCTTTGGGGAATTGATCAAGGGGAAATAAAGGGCATTTTAAAATCTAATCCTCTTAAGTTTGCTAGTAACTTATCTGTTTTAGGTTCTTATCACTCTGGTTTTTATTATATATTACACACTTGGCCCTCCATGTCCATGGGTTCTGCATCCATGGATTCAACTGACCATGGGTCAAAAATATTAGGAAAAAAAGTGGATGGTTGTGCCTGTGTTGAACATGTATAGACTTTTGTCTTATTATTCCCTAAACAATACAGTGTAACAACTATTTACATAGCATTTACATTGTATTAGATATTGTAAGTAATCTAGAGATGATTTGAAGTATATGGGAGGATGTGGTAGGTTATATGCAAATACTACACCATTTTATGTAAGAGACTTGAGCATTTGTAGATATTGGTGCCATGGGTCTTGGAACCAGTCCCCCAGGGACAACTATACTTGTTTGTTTTGTCGCTTCTAGTAAAGTGTAATACTTTCTAGGCAGGATATAAATCTGATTGACCTTTGTGTTCACTTCTATCATTTGGTTTGTCTTGTGTACAGTTAATTTTTTTAGAGAATGATAACAGTGGCATCTTTATGTGTCAGATGCTGTTGAGAATAGATACCATAACTTCTATTTTACATATGAGGACACAGAAACTTGTTAGGTTAAGTAATTTGCCTAAGTTTATACATCTAATAAGTAGTAAAAGTGAGGTTGCCCTTTAATTTAGTCTGACTGCTAACGTGTGACTCTTAAAATGAGCACAACACCATTTAACATATTTACTTGTACTCAAAGTGACTGGGGTGTATGTACATGAAATTCTGACTCTGTGCTAATACTTTCTCGTGTTTTATTTTAAGTACACATTACATTCCTTTACCCTTTCGTTCATGAGCAATAACGTAATATTTATATGAGTGGAAAAGTTAGTGTTCATTAGATTAAGATACAAAGAAAATGACATTGCTTTATCCTTTTTTCTCTGTCTGAATAATTGTAGTTAGGGAAAAGCAGCCTTACGTACGTTGTCATTCTGAAGCTAGTGTGGCCTCAAAAAAAAGGTACATCATCATGATGGCGGGTGTAGTGTCATACTTTAGTTAGTAAATGAGCTTCATTTTGCTATGATTTCTTTCATTTTCAAAGAAATAGAGACTTTTTGAAGATATCCTTACATAATTTATCTGCACATGTTATTATTATTAATGTATCAAAGGAAAATACAAAGTGACATATATTTGATTAACTAGATTTCTTCGGACTCATTGAGATTTGTAACACACGACAGGTTGCTTGATATAGGGTAGCATTTCTCTTAAAAATGCCACTTTTTTTATACTATGTTTTTTTCTTTAGGTGATCTATGCTGTCATTTGCATATTAGTAATTTTAAGAATTTTGTATTTCTGGGAATATAACCATGTTAAAAGACAGTTTATTACTGAAAGAAAATAATTACTTTCACTTTCATTTATTGGATTTTTGTTCATTTTCCCCCTATATTTAGAAACAAAAAAAACATCAAGAATCTCTCCCGCTTAGTTGTCCGCCCCCATACAGATGCTGTTTACCATGCCTGCTTTTCTCAGGATGGTCAGAGAATAGCTTCTTGTGGAGCTGATAAAACTTTACAGGTAAAACCTATCTTGTGAGAAAAATTGAAAGAGGCACATACACAATTCTTTGCAAATTAGAATATGTTTGAATCCTAAAATTCAAGAAAATTGCAACTGAGAAATAGCAGAGAAATCCACATCTCTTGAACATTTTATGGAAGATTTATCTAGAGATTTTAAAGATACAATTATGTGTTTTTGTAATTCTAAACTTGCCAGGTGACAAAGAAGTACCCTTTACTCAGCTAGTCATTTCCCTGCCATCCATTGCCAGCTAAGGGTAATAGGAAATGATAATTGTTAAAAGACATAAAGACTTCATAACACAGGGAATAGGGCTCTGATTAAAATACAGTGATTAAGTAAAACACCTGTTTTATCAAAGACTTAGGTGTAGATTTCTGGCTGTAAGTAGGAACTGGACTAGACTATTTTCCTAAGGTACTTTCAAGAATTTCCTTTAAGTTTTCATTTGTTTTCAGCAAAGATGAATGAGTGCTTTTCTTTACATTTGTACTCTGCCTTTTGATTTTGAAGGAAACAGGATCAAATTAGTTAAAACTTTTATATTTAAGATACTTTTAGTCTTTGCAAGATTATGACTGTACATGTTATTTTGATAGTGCACTGATTTTATTAATTTTGGATTTTGATCCCAGGAAAAAAAAGCGTAGTGAATGAAATGTTTTCTATTTGATTATTAAGAATTTGCCAAAACAGTCTCAAGAAGTGAAGCTGTACTCTTCCACTTCTTTTTATTGATATTTATAAACACTTAACAATGGATGGTTGTCTATTTACATTAAGGCATACAAATTCTGACAGAAATTCTGATTTTCGGAGTGATTTTGCCAAGGTTCATTTCTCTTTCACAAAATAACAATGATTGTGATCTTTTATAGAAAGATTTTTATTGAATGATGGCCCATAGCTAAGTGGTTTGTAGTAAGAAGATTTATTGTTGCTTATGCAGGTGTTCAAAGCTGAAACAGGAGAGAAACTTCTAGAAATCAAGGCTCATGAGGATGAAGTGCTTTGTTGTGCTTTCTCTGCAGATGACTCGTTTATAGCAACCTGCTCAGTGGATAAAAAAGTGAAGGTAGAAAAATATTTTCCTCTTGATTTGTAATCACCACAAAATTCATTTTCTTTTTCCATAATAGAGAGACCAGAGTAAGTAGAGTTAAAGAACTCTTGCCTGTTGATCTACTAACTTGGTCCATTGTAAATTAACAGTGTCTGAAAATTCTTTATTTTTAAGCACCAGCAAAAATGCATAGGTTAAGTTTATTAGGCAGTGGGGAAAAGTAATTGCAAATTAATGAGTTTGCCTGCCATTAAAGGTAGGTCTGTGAGTTAAATATCAGTTGAAATCTTTTGAGTACATTGTGATGAGAAGTATTGCTGCACAAAATTATTATCCGAGATCAGATTCCTGTTGTAAAAGTTATAATTTGTGAAATGCAACACAGATTTTTTTCTTTTTCTTTTTTACCTTTATAAACTGGCTTATATAGTTAGGGCAAAACCAGATGGATGAACAAATTAACAGTTTAATGGTCTAAAAAATAAACAGGATAATTTTTATCTTTGTTAATTATTCTTTCTTGTCTTTTGTTCCTAAATTTTGTTTTTAGATGGAGTATTTATACTATAATAATATGGAATTTAAGAGAAACTGAAGACTTGGGGGATGTTTTATCACTGCTATAGGGGACCTCACTTCAGGCTTTTTTCAAAGGGGTTGTGGAGTACTGAATCTGGCTAGGTGGGCGGGCAAAAAAATTGGCTTGGGTGTTTTCCTGGAGTTTTCACCCACTTGAAGAGGGCTGTGGAATGTCCAGACTAAATTAAGACCTTGGAAAAATCTACTTCTTGATAGATTGGACTAGGTGGCTTTACAGCCAACAGTTAATTCACTCTGTATCCTCTACTCTGAGTCAGATTTGGAGTTGGTCACTCTGGGCAGTTCCAAAGTCAGAACTACATGGAGTAAAAGGAAATAATACTGAGTTTCTGTTTTCTAAGCACTGAAAATATAAAGCAAGAGGCAGCAATACCCATTAAAGAACTTCAAAATAAGATAAACCCTTTGGACCTCTGGGGATTCTAATAAGTGCTTTGATGAGATACAAAGGAATGCTATGGGTGGGGACATTTCCTACCTCTAAAAAGTCAAACTCCCAGTGAAGATCCATTAGGTAATTTATTTCTTTTGCTTGTTGTTATATGAAACAGACTGCTTAGTTGTCTTACAAAGTAACTAGAATGATAATTACTTTTTACTGAGAACTTAACACTGTGAGAGGCTTTATACTACACATTCTCTTATATTACATTATCAGTTTCTCACGACAACTTGTAAAATAACTATTGATCCCATTTACGGAAGAGGACACAGATTCAGAGATGAAGTCACTTGCCCAAGTTCATGTTAACTAATAACAGGGTTGAAAGCTAGGTTTCTCTTAGACTCTAAAGCCTTTACTTTTTTTCCACTGAGCAATCTGCCTTTACTTATTTATATGGTACCTTGAAGTCTACAAACACTTATCATGTTCATTATCTCATTTGATACCTTGAATTGTGTAGGATAGGAATAAGTATCCCTATTTTACAGAAGAGGGAACTGAGATGCAGGTAAGTTAAGGACTTGATGAGGGACACACAGATCACGAGTGGTAGAGCCAGGTCTTGGACTTAACCCTTTGATCTGAAGTCCATTATGCCAGTGTCTTTATAGCAAATCTCTGCCCGCTGTCATTCATATGAATGTGTGCAGTCTTGCCCTTGAGGAATGTCATGTTTTCATGAGGTTCCAATTATGCTATAGAATGACATGTGTAGATTTGCAAGTAATTTTTTAAAAAAAATTAAGGCAGAGTATTTCCATATTTTAGAGAGAGTGGAGATATTCATTAGCATTGTGTCTGACTGGGTAATCTGCCATAATAAAAGAGATAGCATTTGCAAAGAGACTCACAATTGCTTTGCCCTTCTCTTCTCCCTTTGAAAAAAATAGATATTTGTAAATTTTATTTTCTCCGTTCTCTTTAGATTTGGAATTCTGTGACTGGGGAACTAGTACATACCTATGATGAGCACTCAGAGCAAGTCAATTGCTGCCATTTCACCAACAGGAGTCATCATCTTCTCTTAGCCACCGGGTCAAGTGACTTCCTCCTCAAAGTAAGTGTGGATATTGAGAATTATGCAAATAAATTTGATAGATACTTCAGAATTTCTCCTTTGATTTTCTTATGCATCATATTAGGACATTTTGGTTGCAGTGAGAGAAACTTTCATGTTAGCTTAAGCAAAAAAAAAGTGTGTGTGTGTGTGTGTGTGTGTATACATATATATATGTGTGTAAATAAAATTGGCTCATGTAACTGAAAAGTTTAGGGGGAGTACAGCTTTAGATATAGCTGATTTCAGGTGCTTACACTACATTTTCAGCCTCTAAATCTCTCTCCATCTCTAGGCTCTGCTTTCCTCTGTGTTAGTTTAGGCATGCTCTCTCTGTGGCAGGAAATACGGCTACCTTCAGCTCCAGGCTTACAGAAGTCTTACAACTCATAATCACAGAGGAAGAGAAACCTGCTCTTCCCCAGATCCCATAGATCTAATTTTAGAGACTAGTGGAACCAGTCTGGGTTATATAGTGATAGCTAGGGAATCCCAGTGTGGTCCTTGGGTTGTCCAAGGGTCACGAGTTTAGCTATATGAAGGTGGGACAAATGAAGTGAAGTCAGCTCCACTTGAATCATAAGTAGAGCTTGATTCAAAAGAGAGATTCTGTTATCAGAAAGAGGAGGTGGAAGAGGTGCTGGGAGAAAACAAAACAAAACAAAACTAAAAACAGATATTCATTCTGAATATGCTTGATAATGTTTGTAATTACAAATTATAAAAGATTGCATCTTTTTTTCCTCTTAAGTGGATGAAGACTGCTAGATTAAATTTTCTGAGTTGCAGAAAAATCTGCTAACTTCTTCTGGATTAACCTTTCTTCCTTGATGTCACACCATCTTTTTGCAATGGGACATCATATTTTTGGAAGGGGTGGCTAAAACATTTCAGTTTAGAAAACTCATATTCTCTATGTTTTGACATTTAAATAAATTATTTAAAAAAATTTTTTAGAAAGTACTGAAACAGTTACTGAAAATTAATCCTCCTTTTCTCCTTTTCAGGAACCTAAACCTATTTATTTATTTTTCTCCTAAAGCAAATACACAGGCGCTTTCTCTGGTTGAAGTGGGGCCTTCTTCATGATAGGATAGGTAGCATGAGAGGACAGGAGATGTTTTGTTACCAAAATTGAGTCATTTGTCCTGTGGAATGGGCTACATTCTAGATTTGGCTGATTGCTTCCTGCAGGTGTTGTTTAACTTGTTCTTCTAATCCCTTACATTGCTTGTCAAATATAGTTATACTAAACGCTATCTTTGAATTTTTTTGAAGAATTTTTTAGAACATTAGTAGCTTTTAGCCTGGTTAGAAGATTCAGGGTTTGCATTGTGGAATCTTAGAAATGACCATTTTTGGGGTTGGATAACCTAGCATTTAAAAAAAACGAGGACAATTTATATTACATATTACTTATTGTAGCTTATTATAACTGAGTGAAATAATGATTCTAAACCACTCAGTTACAATAAGCAGCAATTATTTAGTTAGTTATTTAGTGGTCAGAGTAAAAAGCTAAGTAAGCCTCTGAGTCCCTTAGTAGATTTAGGTACTGATCTAAGGGCTGCCCTGTTACTTGTTAATTACAAGTTTATCTTTGTTTGACACCTTTGTGTTACTGTGAATTGAACATTATCCTGTAACCAAAAAAGCTTAAATGGGAGAAAAGGAGGAACTTTACATGATTTCTGACTTTTCTCCATTTAGTACTAAGTTTTTTATTTATCTTTTTGTTTTTCACAAATAGCTCTGGGATTTGAATCAAAAAGAATGTCGAAATACCATGTTTGGCCATACAAATTCAGTCAATCACTGTAGATTTTCACCAGATGATAAGCTTTTGGCTAGTTGTTCAGCTGATGGAACATTAAAGGTATGTTTTTGTACATTATTAAAATGGGTTGTAATTTTGTGGAAAGTGTTATGATATGGTTATAGAAATAGGTTTCTATTTTTTCACATTTCTACATAAAGAGTCTCTTCCTTGCAATGCGCACCACCCGAAGGATGGACATATTTGAAACTCGGACTTAGAGGGGAGAGGGGGCGGGGGGGGGCAAGGGCAACATACGTAACCTAAACATCTGTACCCCCATAATATGCTGAAATAAAAAAAAAAAAGAGTCTCTTCCTTCAGTTTCCAGGAGCATATTTAATATAGCTGTAATTGCTTGTTGTAATGATTGTTTATGAATGGTTTGCAACCTAATGTTTAAAGTTCTTACAATTTGAAATCTTAAATTTTAAGCATACATTCCATTTTAAGCATATATTCATAAAACATTTTGAGATCTATCTTAGTCCATTTTGTGCTGCTAAAACAAAATACCTGAGTATGGGTAATTTATAGAGAGCAAAGATTTGTTTCTTTTAGTTCTGCAGGCTGGGAAGTCCAAGGTTGAGGGGTCTACATTTGTCAAGGGCCTTCTTGCTGTGTCATTCCATGATGGAGGGTGGAAGGGCAAGAAAGCACTTGAGAGAGAGCAGGAAGGAGAGAGGAGAGAGAGGGCGGTGAGAATGGAGGGGGGATAAGGGGGCTGAACTCATCCTTTTATCAGGAACCCGCTCCCACTATAACTAACCCATTCCTGAGATAACAGCAATAATTCATTCACGATGGTAGAGCCTGCATGACATAATCATCTCTTAAAGTTCCCACCTCTCAAAACTGTTGTGTTGGGGATTAAGTTTCTAACCATAAACTTTGAGGGTCACATTCAAACCATAGCAAGATCTATGGGACCAGGTTTGTAAAGGACTTGCTTTTATTTATCATTTATTCATTTTACCTTTATGTTATTGTTTTCCTGTTTTTGAGAAATCACATGGGGAAAAAATGAAATGCAAATAGTGCCATGCTATAAATTAGGGAAAAAAGCTTATTCAGCCTTCTGAAATTTATAGTCCTAAAAAAACTAAATTCTTCTTTCTTAAATCCCCACCTTACTTCTCCAATAAGATCCTAATTTCACTTTATTATTCCTGTCTCTGCTGTCACTCTAGTCTCCTGTTTATTGATTTTCCTTACTTTGGTCATAAGTCTAACCTATCTTTGATGTTCTGGTTTCTTGGTCTACCTTTTTCCCTCCTGTTCTATAGTATTTGCTCTGGTTCAGGCTGTTGTCCCCTCATGTCTGATAGCAGCCTTCTAAGATGCACTCTCTGTCTCTACTTATCCAAGTACAGAGCTCCTAGGATTACCCTCTGCCATTTTTCTTCTTGTCACTCTCAGCTGGAGCACAAATAGTGCCATAGTATAAATTGTGGGAAACTCAGACTCATCAGGATCACTTCTGAGTTTCTTCACCTTCCATCATTCTGCCACCTCCTCTCCTGTCCAGTTTGTTTCTTCTAGCCTCTATACCTTACTTGTCTGTTCTGGACAAGTTAACCTTTGGTACTTATTTCAGCTACTGTCCCTGTATGTGTCCCTGTTGCCTTTCTAGGGATTTTTTTTGGCCTCCAATTCACTTGCCATATTTTTTAATTGTGCTCAAAACTTTATGCAAAGCCTTCGTCAGAAAGTGTTCTCTTATAGCGTCCATCTCTTTGGTTCTGAATATGTATATCGATCTATATAGTTAGAAACTTCTTGGTTTGTCTTCTGATTTCCACTTATAATTGTGTTGTATTCAGTCATTTTCATGTGTCTTCTATTTCTTTGATAAGGTTGAATATAGGTTTATGATCTGCGGAGACCTTGTCATCTTTTTGTTGTATCTTTCTCTGAAGTTCATAGTACAGAATTGTATGCATGTACTCAGTAAATTTTCTTCACATATATCTCTTCTAGAAAAATACTTGAACCCTCCTGGGCACTAATTTGGTAGAATCTCTAGAGAAGGAGATTTATTAATGTGACTCAGTGACTGCTAAGTAAGGAAAACTGTCTTGATGCTGATACTTGGGGTTGGATCTTTGGTCTCTCTTTGCTGACTGAGGGTAACTCATTTTTGTATAAATTACTCTAGGGCCTTTAGGAACTCTTTCTGGGTAGAATTTTACTTTGTAGAATTTGGTAGCTATTTGTGGATGTTGGGAGCATTCTGAGATAAAAATTCAGGTAAGTGGATTTTGGCCTCTGTGATGTGTTATTTATCTGTCTCTTCCTTTAGGATAATCCATGTTATAGGAGGTTTTCCAGAATACCCATGGAAGGATTTAGGTAGCCTTCTTCTGAGAGATTCTTTCAGTTCTCAGTCTATTATTTTTTGTTTTTCACTGAGGGAATGACTTTAGAAGAAAGCATTTTATATTTTAAGCCAAGTTTTTCTTCCATTTTATCTCCTTTGCTAATTCCAAGTTCTGGGAAGATTAATTCTAAAATTGATCCTAATCCTTGGCATTATTATATTAGTATTAGGTTGATGACTGTTCAAGAAAGTTGTAAAACCAGGCCATTTATATGTTCTACAAATCTAAGTGGTGCAACTTTACTGGACCTTCTTTACTGTTGACTTAAATCATCCGTAATTTATTTGCTATTTTCACTGTAGTGCCTATTCTAATCCTTTTCTACTGTTCTTAGCCCCCTAACCCTTTCATTCTATGGAGATAACCTTACCTCATACCTGTTCAGAGGGTTAAAACCATCCACCAAGAGCCCCCTCAAAAATTGCTCTAAAAAGCAAAAAAAGCAACACCAAACAGTTGATTGGGAATTGTGAACTTACTGTTTCCCTGTGGATTATCTGGCTGTCGTGTTTTCATGGTGAAGTCATGATGTCAGAGTCTTTATGTCTTCTGTCTTGATCTGGTTGTGTGTGCAGAAAAAAATTGTCAGTCTCGTTGTAGGATATAAATCTGCCTGGCAAGTTCAGAATTGATATCTAGGCAGAGATCTCAACACTTAGAATATAGGCTTTCTCTTAATTTCCCTGTTTTCAGTGTGGTGACACTGCTGTCAACTGTGCTGGGTATAGAATAGTCCCCTCTTACTCTACCTGGAGTAGTAGGGGCACAGTCCACCTGGATTTTCAGAATGAGGGAGGAAATTTCAATGGACTTTTAAAGATTCCTCCTGCCTTAGCTTCACCTTTACCAGAAGGTGCTGGGTGCCAACACTTCCTCAACCTTTTAGTAATTCTGTGGTGTGATTGGGCTGTTTGGTTTTTCCTACTGCAACTCAGAATTTAATTTTTAGGAATCTCCTTATTACCTGCCTTTCTTTTAGCCTTTATGATTCTTGTTGCTGTTGTCTCTTTCTCCATTCTCCTTCATTTTGTGGATTATGCCTAGAGAAAAAAATTCCCTATTGTTTTACCTGAGTTTTGGGAGGATTTAGAGATGGTCTTAGTCTGTTTTGTGTTGCTAAATAGAATACCTTGAGACTGAGTAATTTATAGAAAAAAGAAGTTTATTTGGCTCGTAGTTCTGGTGGCTGGAGAATCCAGAATTGGGCAGCTGCATCTGGTGAGGGCCTCAGGCTGCTTTCACTCCTGGTGGAAACTGAAAGGGGAGTGGATGTATGCAAAGAGATCATGTGGTGAGAGAGGAAGCAAGATTAAGAAACTGAGGAAGCCAGACTCTCTCTCTTTTTTTTTTTTAAAGAGACTGGGTCTCACTATGTTGCCCAGGCTGCCCTTGGACTCCTGGGCTCAAGGGATCCTCATGCCTCAGCCTCCTGAGTAGATGGGACTACGGGCATGTGCCACTGCACCTGGCTTCAGACTCTTTTTTAACAATCTGCTCTCTCGGGAACTAACCCATTCCTAGAGAACTCACTCACCCCAGTGGGATGGCATTCATTTATTTGTGAAGGATTTACCCCCATGACCCAAACACCTCCCACTAGGCTCTATTTCCCAACACCACTACGGTGGAGATCAAACTTCAACATAAGTTTTGACGGGGACAGACAAACCATGTCCAAACCATAGCAGAGGTGAATGTATGTGTTCTATCTCCATCTTTAACCTGAACTCTACTTCTTTCAGTAACACTATTATCTCCACTCACCTGTGCTTGAAACTTGGGGGTAATTTGTCTTTTCACTTAAAATGTATTTATTGATCATTTATTGAATATTTATGTGTCAGATACTATACTAGGTGTTTGGGTTTTAAACACTAAAAACAAAAACGTGTATGTCCTGGCCTGAAGTTGTTTAGAATTGAGTTGGGGATAGAGGTAAGTGAATAGACAAACCATGAAAGTGATAAAAGTATGTAGAGGGTGCTCTGAGAGCAGATGAGGACTCTGTCGGGAAGGGTTCATGCACCTGATGGTACAGCCATTGAACTTGTTCTCTCTTCATTTACTTTGCTTTCCCATTTTGTACTTTAGCTTATGTTAACCCCTTAGGTTCTAGGCCCAGTGTTCCTCTTGTCTTTTTTTTTTTTTTTTTTTTGACAGAGTCTCACTCTTTTGCCCGGGCTAGAGTGAGTGCCGTGGCGTCAGCCTAGCTCACAGCAACCTCACACTCCTGGGCTCAAGCAATCCTTCTGCCTCAGCCTCCTGAGTAGCTGGGACTACAGGCATGTGCCACCATGCCCGGCTAATTTTTTTCTATATATTTTTAGTTGTCCGATTAATTTCTTTCTATTTTTAGTAGAGACGGGGTCTCGCTCTTGCTCAGGCTGGTTTCGAACTCCTGAGCTCAAACAATCCGCCCGCCTCGGCCTCCTAGAGTGCTAGGATTACAGGCGTGAACCACTGCGCCCGGCCCCTCTTGTCTTTTTGATGTTGAAATTCTGTCCATCTTAAGTTGGTGTAAGGTAGGCTAATATTCCGGGAGTAGAGTAAGGTGGTCACTTCCTGCACAGAGTGTTCCCTCAAGCCCTCAGCTTGAATACAGCATTCTCACTGTGCTGCATCTTTTCCTCTCCAGTGACATACCTGACATATCTTACGTTAGAGTCGTTTATGTGCTTATCTTCTCTTACTGGCCTGTATATAAACTCCTTGAGGGTAGTTTCTATATCTGATTCATTTATATAATCTCAAAGTGACTAGCATAGTGTTTAATAAATGTATTAACGATGATAAACTCTTCCTGTGTCTCTTCAAATCAAACTAAGATCTTCAACTTCACAGAGAAATTTTTTAAAGTTTTCATTTTTCAGGAGTAGGATTTTGATTTCTGTATTCATGTGGGTATCACAGTGTGATTGTAGAGCACAGAGCACTAGCAGCAGGGGACAGACATTACTGCACTCTTGGTGACAACTGCACATGTTTGTGGTAGCTTTCCCACAGTGCTATTAAGCCAGTATCGTTGGCTGGTTTGTAGTGATACAGTGACATGTAGTAAGCAGAAGTCCTGCAAAATGATGTTAGGTAACAGCATTTCAAGGTCAAAGTCTCCTAAAGCTTTTACCTTCTGAGAGGATGAGAACTGTAAAATTATGTCCTGCCCCAAATGGCTCTGTAATTTTTTCTAAGCTTTCTATAGGGTATCATGTTGATAAGCATGCATTTTTAAGGCTCTGATGATAAACTATTTCAAAATGCAAGTTTTATTTAAAACTAGCCATTTAAAGTATACAAAGGCACAGGGTGCACAGGGACTCTGAATACAAGTACAGAGACTTGATCAAAATGGAATGCTGGTATTAGTTTATGTGGTCCCTCCATATGTGGGCTTTCATCACTGCTTGGATATGAAGGAGATGAAGTCAGGTCCAGAAACAGAAGATGTAATTTAGGCAGATGTAATGAAATTGGATTGTGCTTGTTTTCTTTTTCTTTCTTAAATCCAGGCAGTCCTTGCTTTGTTTTTCATATTAATACGGAAACAGAGTGTGATTTCTCATGTATTCTGGCTGATGTAACTGAAGCTTCTGGCATTTATATTTTTCTTTTTTCTCTTTAGTATCAGGGAAGGCTAACTATTTTAGTACTTGCTGTCTCTTTTGCTTTATCTACTTCACTCACAATTGTTGCAAGGGGAAAGGTTTTGGTTTGGGCCATATTTTTTAGTATATATAATACTTTTCTAAACTCAAGAGAGATTTAAAAATGTGCCTGTCCAGACAAATGTTTTATTTGGGAGCTGTGCTTTGGAATCTGAGTTAAAGCTTGAGAAGCAGGTTGGTTTTGTTTGTTTGTTTGTTTTTGTCCACCTTGGCTGTCTCTTGGTCTGGACATAGTATCCATGATCACTCTGTGAAGCTGGGACACTGCTCAAGGTCCAGAGTAGTGAAGGTGGTGGATCCTCTCAAAGGCCTTTGTCTTTTGTGCTATTCAAGTGATTCTGCTAGGGAGTGAGGTTTAGAATATTTTGTACCCCATTCCTTAGGATTCCTATCTAGCCCCACCAGCACACAAAGAGTCTTTCTTCCTTTCAGCATGTCTTTGCTTTCCATTTTCAGAGACTTCCTTGTGTCTCTGGATGCTCTGCTAGGTTCTAACCGGGCCCGGACTGGGTCCTATGTAGTCTTCCTGCTGTGCATAGGGTAGATGTGAAGGACATTTCATGCCTGGCACAGCAGAGGGCAGCAGTGGCAAGTGAGTCTCTTCATCTCAGCTTCTTTCTTCCACTCTTGTCCTTGCTGTTGTCAACGCCTAATCTTTAGCCTTCTCCACACCATGCAAGACTCTTAACTTTTTATTTAGTTTTATATTCTGCATTCTGCATTTTGGGCAGTGCTCGTAATTTTTTTCTTTTTAGGAAGATGACGAATGAAACTGGAATACTTAAAAGTCTTATAAAAAATTGATGCATAGATAAAAATAATCCATCAGGTGAAGCAAATGAGTTTGTGTGACATTTAATCCAGGTGGAATTCTAGACGTGTGATTTGAGAGCAAAACAAACTTGTTTTTGTTTTTTATTTTTTTAATTTGAAGCTTTGGGATGTAAAATCAGCAAACGAGAAGAAAAGCATTAATGTGAAACAATTCTTCCTAAATTCAGAGGACCCCCAAGAGGATATGGAAGTGATAGTGAAATGTTGTTCATGGTCTGCTGATGGTGCTAGGATAATGGTGGCAGCAAAAAATAAAATCTTTGTAAGTATTAGTATTTTAAAAAGCTGAATTTTGTCTGATTTAAAGAAAATTAGAACTCCTATTAATTTTTACAATTTTACGCTGTTTATTGATACGAATAAAGTCTAGCTGTGTGATTTTGGGCAGGTTCCCTAACCTCTCATAGTTCTTTGGAACTGTGCTCCAGAGGGTATGGATGGCCTTATGAGAAAAGATCTCTGTGGTCACGTGGGTTTGGGAAATGTTATGTCTTGCTTTCTGCTATTAGAGGTGCACAACGTGAACTAACGTATTCAAGGCCCCGGGAAGTCCTACAGTAGAGAACCAGTTTATATTTGTCAAGTCCAGTGTTCTTCAAATGTATTTAAAACATTGCTGCATCACTCCTTTTTTTTTTTTTCCTAATTTTGATTACATTGGTTTTTCAAAGTGCTTCCTTAACCCTAAAATTTTATGAATTTCTGACTCTAGAGAGAAATGCTCATCAACAACTGAACAAGATTGGGAGATTTTTATGAAGAAAATGAGGAAGATATGCAAAGAAAGTTAATGATAAGAAAATGCCTTCCTCTTTTTTTTACATCTAATAGTAGCTTATATTTCTGGTGTTCATGTGCTCTCACATATAATTTCTTTTGATATAAATAATCAAGAGACACAGCAGATTGCAATAGTGCTGTGATGACAATGAAGCAGCTGAGGTTCAGAGCAGCCAAAGAGTTTGTCCAAAGTTATACTGTGACTAGGAGAGCCAGATCTTCTGATTTATGGCTCAGTGACATTCTATTCTAATAGTAATTTTAAAAGACTTGAGTAAGGGATATTACTATTTTAAAAAGTGTAATTGAAATATGCGATATAGTTTAAGAGACTGTTTATATAATTGTTATTGATCTAGTAGCTATGACCCTTGAACCTTGATTGCTTATGGGTTTATACCTTTTTAGCAGGAAACTAACAGGGAAAATTTTCCTTTTCTCTTAAGTTTGTTAAGGTCTTTAAGAACAGAAAAGGAACCCCACTGCATTTGCAAGATTTATGATTAAAAAAATTTTTTTGTTGTGATAAAATATGTATAAAGTAAAATTTGCCATTGTAACCACTTTTTTTTTTTCTTTTTTTTTTTTTTTTTTGAGACAGAGTCTCACTTTGTTGCCCTGGCTAGAGTGAGTGCCGTGGCGTCAGCCTAGCTCACAGCAACCTCACACTCCTGGGCTCAAGCAATCCTACTGCCTCAGCCTCCCGAGTAGCTGGGACTATAGGCATGTGCCACCATGCCCGGCTAATTTTTTCTATATTTTTAGTTGTCCAATTAATTTCTTTCTATTTTTGGTAGAGACGGGGTCTTGCTCTTGCTCAGGCTGGTCTCGAACTCCTGAGCTCAAACAATCCGCCCGCCTCGGCCTCCCAGAGAGCTAGGATTACAGGCGTGAGCCACCGTGCCCGGCCTGTAACCACTTTTAAATGTAAATTCAGTGGCATTAATTACATTCACAGTCTTATGCAACCATTACCACTATATAGTTCCCAAACTTTTTCATTACTCCAAATAGAAACTTTGTGACCATTAAGTAATAACTCCCTGTTCCCTTCTCTCCCCAGTCCCTGGTAACCTCTAATGTATTGTATGAATTTGCCTATTCTAGATATTTCATATAAGTGAAATCCTTTTGTATTGGGTTCATTTCATTGAACATAATGTTTTCATGCATATTGTAGCATGTATCAGAACTTTATTCCTTTTCATGGCCGAATAATACTCCCTTGTATGTATATATCACATTTTGTTCATTCATCTGTTGGACACTTGGCTTGTTTCCACCTTTTGGTGATGGTGAATAACACTGCAATGAACATTGGTGTTACAAGTATATTTGAGCCTCTGTTTTCAGTTCTTTTGTGTATATACCTAGGAGTGGAATTGCTGAGTCATATGGTTATTCTGAGAAACAGCCAGACTTTTCCCCAGCAACTATACCATTTTACATTCCCACTAGCAATGTACAAGGGTTCCAATTTCTCCACATCCCTGATTACAGTTGTTATTTTCCATTTTTAAGATTAGAGCCATCCTAGTAGGTGTGAAGTGGTATCTCATTGTGGTTTGATTTGCATTTTCCTAATGGCCAATGACTTTGAACAAAAGATAACTTTTTAAAAAGATTTTAAAATAACTGATCTAATGAGAGGAAAATAATTTTGTATTGAATGAAATAATTTCTTTTAAAAATCTGTAGAGCAGCAGCTCACTGTTTTACTATGCTAAAATAAAGCTATTCCGAGATCACCCTTAACCACATGTAGATCCCAATTTTTTACTTTTTGGCCTCTCCTACCTCCTCCTCTTCTTTCTTCCTTTACCTTTTCCTTTTCCTGCCATTCCTTTCCTTTTCCTTTTCCTTTTCCATTTCCTTTCCTTTCTCCTTTCCTTTCCTTTTTCCTTTCGTGTCTCGCTCTGTCACCCTGGGTAGAGTGCAGTGGCATCATCGTAGCTCACTGCAACCTTTGGGGTTACATAAATTGCCTTTGCGCCACCCGACAAGTGTGCCCATCCCTCAGACAGTGAGCACTATATCCGTTAGGTGTGGATTTACTCATCCCCTCCAACCCCCTCCCACCTGCCTGACACCCTATGAATGTTACTTGTCATGTGTACACGTTAATGTCGATCAATTAGTACCAATTTAATGGTGAGTAAATGTGGTGTTTGTTTTTCCATTCTTATGATACTTCACTTAGAAGAATGGGCTCCAGCTCCATCCAGGATAATACAATAGGTACTTCATCATTTTTTTTTTTTTTTACATATACCGCATTTTGTTAATCCATTCATGTATTGATGGGCTTCTTTTTCAATTTTAGTAGAGGAGGGGTCTCACCCTTGCTCAGGCTGGTCTTGAACTCCTGAGCTCAAGCAATCCTCCAGCCTCGGCCTCCCAGAGTGCTAGGATTACAGGCATGAGCCGCCACGCCAGTCCACTCCTGTTCTTTTTGCTTTCCAAGTGTTGTTAGTCTACTCCTGTTGTTAGGTCTTTTCTCTTTTGCTACCCATCATTGGGACAACTGCGTATTCCACATTCCCCAGGTTTCCTCTATCACTCTCAGCCACTAATTTTTAAGAACGACCTGTCCTGGGAAGCATTTAAGTATGATTTCCTCTCCTCTGTTTTTGGCCTCCCATGCTGTGCTGCTTACCATCTGTACTTGCTTGTAGGGCTGTGCATTCACTAAACATCTTTATAGCTCCCACTGGAAGCTTTTTTTTTCTTCTTGAGGACTATGCCTTGGTTTTAATTTGCTATAATGTATGTGTGTGTGTGTGTGTGTGTGTGTGTGTGTATAAAGTATAAACCATCATGTCATTTGGCAAAAACTTTAGAAGAGCATATTTAGCATTTAAAAATCTTTCAAAAATTGAAGAAGCTTGAATGACTCAAAAATAGCTTTTTTAGGGTTCAAAAATGGGAAAATGATTCATTGTAATAGAGTAATTTGGTAGTTCTAGAAAGAAATGGAAGTGATTGAGCTAATTTCATTTTAGCAAACTTCTGCTCTACATTGATCATCTTCATTTATGAGTATACATTTTCTCTTTTGAATAAATAAGCATTAGGGAGATCCACTCTGTATGTTAATTTGGCTAGTCCATTCATTTATTCACAAAAGTTTTATTTCTCTCTAGGCCAGCTTGATGAATTTTTCTTTATAGAAAATACGTTTCAAGATGAGCGGTATTTAAAAGAATATAGGTATTGATTTGTATTTTATTAATGATTGTCAATAATAATGTCAGTTATCAGTAATTATTTTTTTCAGGACTTACATTCGAAATGGGAGGAGATCCTTTTAAACATAAAGTTAGATTTAGTTTGAATATAGCTTATCTTTTAAAATATTTTACCTTCATAGGTATCTCTATTTGCATTGACAGCTTTTTGACATTCATACCAGTGGCCTATTGACAGAAATCCACACAGGCCATCACAGCACCATCCAGTACTGTGACTTCTCCCCTCATAACCATTTGGCAGTAGTGGCTTTGTCCCAATACTGTGTGGAGGTGAGTAGTTGAATTTATTCTATGAAGTCTTGGTCTCCAGATATCTAAGGATGACAGAGAATGGGCTGCCTAAACCATTAGATGCTGACGATGCTTCCTTGAGAAATCATAGAGTATTTTCTTCATAGCCTACTGACCTGTAACTTTGGGATATTAAACCATATAGCCAGCTTTTATTGCTTTGATTGAAGTATTTGTTATAGTGATTGAAGACTTGACTTGACAGTATTACAGAGAATGGTAGTACCATTCCCCAAGCATTTACAGAATTCCTAACAGGTGCCAGAGTGGGGAAACAATGGAATGACCCCCAACTGCTGGTTTCCTAGATAGAAACATGGCATCTCTTAAACAATATAGGCACAGAGTCTTTTCTTCTTAAAAGAAATGATAAGAGATGAGTTCAGTTCAGATTTCTTAGATCACTGGGTAGGATAAGATAGGATATTCATTGCTAAGCACTAATGAATAAAATAATTCCTATAAATTACTTATTTATATTTATAATTTTTCACTTGTTAAATTTTATATTCAGATTCTGTATCTAACTGGCCCTGGAAGAATTCCACCTAGTAAATTGCTATATTGATTTTTTCATAAAGCAACGCACTGTATTTTTCCTTCAAAGATAGATTGATTAGTTTTTCCAAGCTTTCTTACTCCTTATTCCTTGGGGTTGGTTTTACCACCAGGTAGTTTGAAGCCCCCTTGAGATCACAGTTCTAAGAAGATGGGTATGGCCCTTTATCTGGAAAATGGGGAAGTTCACTGGCTTTACAGGCTCCTCTTCAAGAGAATCTTGGCTATTGTGAGCGCTTCTTTAGTGTTCTGTGCTTATTTCAGCCATTTTTAGTGAGTTTGCCAACCTTGCCCCTTATTGTGAAGGCTTTGGAGGAGAGTTGCTAAGCTATAGCCCTTGAGTGTGGAGGTTCAGATGAGAGAGAGGGAATGAGCTCCATAGGCTCCTCCTAATTCTGAGTACAGCAGTGCCCATAACACTGAAGAAATTCCCTGCTGAAAACCTTCACTGCAAGTAGAGGCAGTGAGTATGAAAAAGCTCCAGTCCTGTTTGAAACTATGGGAAGAAGTAGTATGCTGTGGGCAGTGTTTTCTTGGGAAGAGGCTTTGAGTTGGAAGTTTGTGATCTGCTAGGAGATCTTGAACTTAACCTGTAGATCCTCAAGGTGGGCGTGGCTAGAATTTTCCCTTCCTTGGGTTTTGTCAGGATTTTTAGAAGGAGTAGAGAAGCAACTCTTCTTGTAGCCTTTCTCGTCACTTCTAAAATCCTACCCTCTGCCATCCTTAGAAAGCTCTAGGAAACAATGTCTTCCTTCTTGAAAGATAGGGCCTTGGTTCAGAAGGCTCTGAGTGACAAAGAAATGATGGGGGAGAGATGGACAGAGCGAGGAGGGATGAGAGGGGAAGATTTTCAAGGGAGATTTTTCAGTCGTAGAACCACTTTTGTTTTTGGCCTTTTAGCTCTGTACATTCCAACTTGGACTCTAGAGATAAGGCAGAAAAAAATCTCATGTAACTACTTAATAACCATAGAACTTACTGAGTGAAAACCACTGGGCACGTGATGAAATACTTGTTTTGTCCATGCTAGTTCTGAAATCATAACGTAGGTCTGTAATTTAAAGTATAATGAGAGGGACTCAGGCACATATGGTACTTCATTAGACTGGAATATATTTGAGTAATTTACAACAAAACCCAGGACAAAATACAGGCAGGCTGGTGGCAGACATCGACAATTTGTAATAAGCATGAATAACAGGAGAAATGTGTACATGTTACAATTAGTACATTCATTTATTGTAGAGTTTTGCAATCAGTTGAAATGAAGGTTAGATGACAGTCTTAGTGGAAAATAGTCTGAATATGTCAGCTGCTTATCTTCATCCTATTATTTGTTTAGATTGATTTTTTTAAATTGATAAATCATTTATGTGATTCCAAAGTCAACGTTTTATAAGTTACATTCAGAGAAGTCTTGCTTTTCATCCCTATCTTTTCCCCTCCACTCCTTTCCTTTGTAGGTGACCATTTTGCTTTTGATTTAACCTTTCAATGTTTCTTTTTGCATATATAAACAGATATCTATATGTATGTATATCCATATCTATATTCATTTATATGTTCACATATTTATTTTTCCTTCTCTTATATAAAAGGCAGTACTGTATAGTACATGTACACTTCTGCACTTTGGTTTTTTTCTGTTAATAATATCCTATAGATTAGTTATCAGGGTGGTTTTCTCATTCCTTTTTATAGCTACGTAGTATTCCATTATGTGATTAATGTAGTTTATTCAGATGGTCCCCTATTGATGAGCATTTGGGTTGTTTCTGGTTTTTTGCTATTAATAATAATGATTCACTAAATGATATTCTGCATAAGACAGTTTGTATTTTTGGTAATGTGTTTTTGAGCTATATTCATAGAAGTGGTATTACTGGGTCATTCTTCCTATTTTCAGTATTCCTGCTATATTCAAAATGCTTATGAATGTGATTTCCTATATGCTGTGTTTATTCTGTAGCTGTGGAATATAGATTCATGTTTAAAGGTAGCTGATTGCAGAGGACATTTAAGTTGGGTTCATGGTGTGATGTTTTCTCCTGATGGATCATCATTTTTAACATCTTCTGACGACCAGACAATCAGGGTGAGAAATATTTTCGTTTTAAACATTTACTGATGGTGAAATAACCCTTCTACAAACTAAGAAATTGATGGGTAGTATCGAGGGAAGTAAAACAGGAAACTACTAGATTCATATTCAGCCTGGAAAAGTGCCATTATATGGACTATAACAGTTTGATTCGTTCACTGCTTGTTCACTGAGTATTGCTATGCGGCAGGTGCTATGGGAAGTCCAATGATTAAACTCTATTTTGTTAATTTAAATATGTTACATTTGATTCCTTAGAGTAATTTTTGACTTTCCTCAACCTTGAATTCCCACTTCCAATTACTTGGCAATTCTAATAGATTCATCTTTTCTGTTTTCTATCATTTATCTCTGCTTTTCCATTCCTTCTACACAAGTTCAGGTCTTTATTACCTGTTGCCTCTCTTCTTGTATTAGTGTCCTTTTTCTTGCTCTTCTGCATGCTGTTTCCAAGATATTTTCCTCATTTGCAGTACAGTCATGTCATTTTTGCTCAAAAACAGGTAGTGGGTCCCTTGTCTGCCCAAGTAAATATATAATTCTGTGACTACCGTTAAGCTTCTCCACAGCATGGCCTCATTCTGCTCCAGTCTGTCTTCCAGTTTATTCCTATAGAGAACCTACACGGAACTGCTCACATTTTCCTAAATACCCCGTGGTTCCCTGCTTCTGTAGTTTTGCTTAAGTGTTTCTTATGTTTGTAATACCCTACTTCCCTGTATCTCTCTCTGTTGAAATCTTGACTAGCCTACAAATCCCCTCAAGCCTTCCTCATTTTGGGAAATGTCTGTCTCCCTTAATGCCATATAATTTTTTGTCATTTTCTAATGGTGCTTATCAAATTCTCAGTTGAATTTAAATACAGATTTGATTTGATTTACTCCTCACCACCAGTATTCCACTGCTCTTCTGACTTATTCGCACATCTTAGATTATACACTCTTAAAGGCCAGGGACCCTGGTTGGTCCCTGTAGTATCCAATACAGTGTTTTATACAAATTATAGCTAAAATTTATTTAGTATTTATAATACTATATGCCAGACAATGTGCAAAGTACTGTGTATGTATTAATTTACTGATTCTCACAACAGTCCTTTTTGTAGTTGAGGAAACAGGCACAGAAAGGATAGGTAGGCAAAGGAAGGCTGAGAAAGGTCAGTGCTATTTAACGTGCCAGTCTCAATGAGTTGGAGCCAGAATATAAATCAATGCGCTACTTTCTTCGTCAAGAAAGTCTTGTTAAAAAAAAAAATAAGCTGCATCACTAAACATACTATTATAGTATGTTTAGTGATATAGTTGATTTATATTCTGGTGCAAGTTTCTTATCTTGTTGTGGATTGGTATCAAACAGTTTGAAAACCAGCAGGAGGTCCTTATCTTTGAGTAGCACTGGTAACCTGCCCAAAGTTATAACTTTAGTTAGAACTAGAATTCATACTGAAGCATTTTTGGCTCTAGAGCCCATAGCTCTTAATACTAACTGCATTTTACTATAGATTGTGTTAATATTAATAAATATTTATTGTTGGATTATAATCTAATAATTGAAAAATTTTTGTGTCTTGCTTTAAGATGAAGACTTGTCTTTATGTTATTTCAGAGGATGAACTGTTATTAATAGTTTCTTTATCTCTTAATCAGCTCTGGGAGACAAAGAAAGTATGTAAGAACTATGATATAGTGTTAAAGCAAGAAGTAGATGTTGTGTTTCAAGAAAATGGAGTGATGGTCCTTGCAGTTGACAATATAAGACGTCTACAAGTGAGTAATTTTAAGAAAACAATTGGAAAAATTGTTTTAGTTGAACTCTGAATTCACAATTTTTCTTGTTTGTTTTGAATTTGGGATCAGGCATACTTGTACAGTATCTAACAGGTGCCCAGTAGGCATTAGTGAATAAATATATATGACTGTATTTAGAATTAAGTAAGGTAAAACCTCACTTCACTCTTCTCCTTTTGGCATTTATGATCTCATTCCTTGATTTGTATGGAGTCTAGGAATACCATGAGGACAAATTTGAACTTGTCCATAGGAGCGATTCGAACATGTCTGACTGAATGTGCAAGGGGGATGAGCATACCAATGTAAGCATTTTTACAGGGCAAAGACAATAGGGTCTTTGAAAGAACAGAAATCACCTAAGTGATGAAGGAGTCTGACTTGTTGGAACCGAGCTGGGCTTTGCATACTGAGGTGCACCTGTGTACTCATTTACTCACACATTTGTTGAGTAAATATTTATTGAATGCTTATTGTGGTCCTTGAGAAGGAAAGGGTTGTTTAGTAAAATTGAAACAACTGTACTGCTTAGGGATCCATACAGCACTACTCTAGATTGCTCATCTCTTGCCCCTCAACAAGAGGTGGGACACATGATAGGAAGGCATTTTTCGACTGGCTGAAGAGAAAAGGAGTCCCAGAGATCCGTTGGCAGGGGAATAGTATTTAGGAACTCGGAGCAGTGGTAAGAGAGAGAGCAGATACCCTAAGGAGCATTGGAGTCCTCAAGAACAGGTTAGCACTACTGTGCTGGTGGCCTGAGTAAAGAGTCATCGAATGGAAGTCCAGTGCAGTTGGTACTGCATTGATAGAGACGTCCTGGAAGTGGTAGTGACGTTATAGGTGTAAGTCACGGGAGCAAGAGAAAACAAACGCCTCATCAAAGGTCAAACATAAGAGACTGCTTGCAAGTTAGCCAGCCCAAGCAGAACAGCTGAATATGGGCCATCATGGAGGTATCAGCATGTGGAGCTGAGTGACAGTGGTGACGTGTGGCTGAGAGAGGTGATAAGAGCAGCAGCCAGAGCAGAAGAGCCAGGGTCCACATGGCTTTTATGTGAATGAATGTGACATTCTACCTTGCCCTGAGAATTCCCTGAGAGACATAGGATTGAGAAGGACAGAAACCCCTGTCATAAGTGAGAGCTAATGATCCTATGAACTATTTTCTCATAGTATATTTGTTATTTTAGGACCTTTCACTAGTCTTTAAGAGCATGAATACAACTTGAGTTATCCTTTTTTCCCAGATAGGTTTTAGAAGTGCCTTATTAACTTCTAGGGAAAGGTTTTAGCATTGATACTGTGATCTTATGCCATCTCTGCATTTGATTTTTCTTGATTTGCTTATTGAAACATAGGAAGCATTCTCATGCATAGTGTGTGAAAGAATGAGATGAGATAGTGAAGTAAAGCTAGAGCACAGAGAGGAACAGAAGAGAGAAAAATAAAGCATGCACATGGAAGGTGTCAGAGGTAGCAAGAGATTGAGACAAACTGACAGAAGGTAGGACAGTGCTTAACACGTTCTAAAGACGCAGAACTCAGCTTGATGCAGTGGAGAGAATAGACTTTTCACTCAGGAGACCCATGTGCAAGTTCAAACTTTATCATCAACTAGTTCTATGATATTGAGTAAATTGGCATCACCTCTGGACCTCAGTTTCTTCAACTGTAAGGTCTTTTTCATGTTCAAAAGTCTGAGCTAGTTACAGGATCAAGGTGGAATCCAAATTCAGGAGACAGATGCCTGGGAGTAAATTGTTTAGGCTATATGGTAACTTCTTGTCTACTGTTGAAGTCAGAGTCAAGATACAAGACACGCCCGAATATGGCCTGTTCCATATTTTACAAGTTTTACTATTGTCTTCAATATGTTGATTAGGAGCTGCTAGTGGCCTGTATTTCTGGGATGAATTGGGATGTGGAATTGAATGTAAATTTCTTATTAACTGGTGTTTAGGAAGCTGATTCTTCCACTTGGAATAATTCCCAATGCAGTTTTCTTGTCAAATTCAGTGTGCTCATGCTTGTATTTTCTTTATTAAATTTGTGCAATCTTTCTTTAAGAGTTTCATAACGGTGAGGACTTAAAAAAGTCATCTAACTGTAAAAGTATCATTTTATGTCAGTGGTTGTGGGAGAGTTTAGAGGATAAACTGACAAATAAATAGTTTCATTTAAGTGAACAAAACATTTTTTAGTTACTGCTTAAAAAAGCTCTCGAAATTGATTTTTGAGAGAAGAAAGATATTCATCTTTTAGTAGTTCAGTATTCATTTTGAATATCTAATAGAGCAGAACATGCTGCACAAAATATTGCAAAGGAAAAACTACCTGTGATTGATTGGCCCTATGATCTGCATACCTGAAACAAAGCTAATGCTTATTTCATGTTGAAAAATAATTCAGGATTTTTAGGTTATGATAGTAGGTTAGAGGTATTTGGCAGCTGATTTAAGCTTGAGAAATATTTTTTCAGGTCACTTGTATTAGTTAAGTGAGAAGGCATCTTTATTCATGAGATTTTAAAAAATAATCATTAGCATTAGTATAGATTATGAAATTGAATTTAAGCATTACAAGTCCAGCCAAGCAAATTATGCTTATGGGTTCTTCACCAATGGCCTCACATTCCGCCCCCCTCCCCACCAAAAGGGAAAGAATCTTAATTTACACTGTTTTGTGAGTGATTTGGAGGATATAAAACCCATTTTGATTTGGATTTGATTTTTTATGTTTGTCTCAGTCTTGTTTCACCAACCCCCTTGAAAAATATCAGAAAAGTGTATTTTAACAAACGATATAGCCCTCTTAAAAATGGGCTTTGTGAAGAAATGGAAAACAGGGTGCGGTGCTTAGCTGTGGGATTACAGAATCAGACAGATGTGTCTCAGGTGGTGGTTCACAGCAGCTGCTTTTTAAACCTTTTAAAGCTCATTTTATTTTATGAAAATGTATTTGAACCACCAAAGTGAAATGAAATGAAAGCATGAAGTACTAAATGCAGCTGCTGAGACTAGGATACAACTTTATTGTTCCCCTGGGAGCTCTTCTTGGTTATTTTCTGTGTTTTATTTTTTCAATTGAAGCCTCTGTTCTAAAGAACAAAAACAATTATAGCCTAATAACTGATTGTGCCTCATTTTTCATTAGCTCATTAATGGAAAAACAGGTCAGATTGATTATCTGACCGAAGCTCAAGTTAGTTGCTGTTGCTTAAGTCCACATCATCAGTATATTGCATTTGGAGATGAAGATGGAGCCATTGAGGTATTCAGTTCTAGTTTTAAGAATCTTTCTGTGCAGTAGAATTATTTATTTAAAATTAATGTATGTTTGGCATGGTGCACATGTACATTAAACAAATCTTTCTATGATTGATTTGTCATTGTTCTGTTAGACTAAAAACCATCTTATCCAGTTGGTTGTATATTCTTCAGATTGCTTTTATCACTGTTTTTCATACTTTCTTTTTGCTTTCATTATTCCCTGTCTAGTTTTCTTGCTGTTCTCCACATATATCCAACACCATCAGAGATTTAGCTAACTATGCAAAGAGCATTTTTTTCTCCTTTTCTTGGAAGCTCAGCCATGTGGGGTGTAAGTTGTTTCCGTTTTAGTGCTGATAAGGCCCGTTGGGAATATCAACAGGGTGGCCTATCCTTGCCTGCTCTTCCAGCCCTTGCTGTTCTGCTTTTGGTGTTAGAAGCATACCAGTTCACACCTGAAAGCCTTCACTTATTCAACAAGACCAAATAAGTAAGAATAGAATCAGGTTGTAAGGCAAAAAATGTAGTATAATAAAAATCATTTTGTTTCACTCTTTTTTTTTTTTTTTTTTTTTTAAAAAAAAGAGATGAGGTCTCACTCTGTTGTCCAGGCTGGAGTTCAGTGGCTGAATCGTAGCTCACTGCAGCCTCGAACTCCTGGGCTCAAGATCGTCCCACTTCAGCCTCCTGAGCTGGGACTACAGGAAGGTGCCACCATGTGTAGCTTAAAATCATTTTGGATAAAAATATTGTCCTCTTTGTCACAAATGAAATTCATCACAAAAGCACACTTTTTCTAGCTGTATAATTGTTTTTCTAAGAACATTGACTCTCCCTGTTTCTGACTCAGGCTCTTGGGAATTATTTCTTAATTTATTTATTATGGCATTAGCCACATTTATTTTACTTTGGATTCATTTTCATGAGGAATTACACATTCTCTAGTCGATATTGCCACACAAAGAGGAGACTGTATGCTTATACACAAAGTGAAGAAGGAAACATTCGGGAAGCGATGTCAATGCTATTGTATATTTGCCGTGGCCATTGTAGCATGGATTGAGAGTTACGGCTTCATTTTTTTCTTTATTATTATGAAAAGTTTATTTATTAAGTGTTAAGATGGGTATTATTCTGAGGAAGTATATTATGGGTATTTGTTAAGTAAGGGATGATTGTGCATTTACAGGTTAACCTTAGTTTTTTAGTTTCATCGCCCAAGCTGTTGTATGTTATTATTTATTCTTAAAGGGTCCTTTGTTTCCCTTTTCTTTTTACCTTGCTGCCAAGCCAACACCACATTTTGTTTTTATCATTTAAGTATCTTGAAATAAGCCTTCCAGATAGTTTGAAAAAATAACTCAAAAAACACATGTATTTCATTCACATCCTCACCCCCCTCAACATCATCGAATAATATAAATAATAGATAATGAAGCTTGTGAAATTACTGATATTTGACTGTTTTTTAACCTATAAAATGGCAAGTTCCTATGGTTCAGCTTAGTACCATGAAATAATAATATTAGCAGCTACCATCTATTAGGTGTTTACTGTGCCAGATGCTCTCATTGAATTCTCATAGCATCCTGTATGTTAGATATTATTATTCTTGTTTTCCAGATGTCTAAAGTCTTCGTTTCCACAACTTTCATAAAATCAGTAAGTGGCAGAGCCAGGATTCAAATCCAGGTCTCTGAGTCTGTGTGCTCAACTATTATACTATCCTGCCCTCACCTGCACAGGACTTGTGAGATTGTCCACCCTGCCCGTTTAGGAAAGCTCCCATTCATACAATTCCCCTTACTTTCTAAGGGGCTTTTTTTCCAGCTGTGTAGGTTAGGTTTGAATTTATGGAATCTTCCGTTTTAATATCATCTATATTTTTCTAAGGCTTCTTTGAGTACATTTTAGTTTGGGCAAAGAAACATTTATTTATTTATTTATTTATTTATTTTTTGCTGAGTTCATTTGAAAGCCTTTTTGACACAGTCATTATTTTTTGAGTTTTTATCACTACTTTCTTAATCGCTGCATTTGGAATATTCATCTTTAGCCCTCTTAAGTATTCTCATTGCACTGCCCTCCCAGCCTTCACGTATCCTTTTTTCCTTTACCTGTCTCCCTCGTCAGCCTTTATCTTTCCTTGTCTTTGTGTTTTATGAAGAGCTTACCTGGTCTCATCCAGGATTTTTTTCTTTCTTCTCTCTCATCCATCTTAAATGTCATTTTCTTTTTGGAGGCTGCCACTTGTTTGATGAATTAGGTAGTTGAGTACTCAGCAGGATCACTGGTTCCTACTTCCATCTGGTCCTTGCAGTGAGTGTTTTATTTTAGGGTGTGTGTTTTTATGTGTGCACACACGTATATGTGTGTGCCATTCCTTTGTGTGTTTTTAGTTAAACTAAAAGCACAAGATGGAGATTCTGTACCCTTCTGTAGGCTAATTTTAGTTAATATCTTTGGGGTATAATGCCTAGGTGTTGCTTAATTTCTTTGTGTTAATTTTTTGTGGTTTTCTACTTTGAAGATTTTAGAACTTCTAAACAACAGAATCTTCCAGTCCAGAATTCGGCACAAGAAAGCTGTACGGCATATCCAGTTCACAGCCGATGGGAAGACTGTTATTTCAAGTTCTGATGATTCTGCAATTCAGGTGAGAGGGAGGATGAACTCCTGATATACGTAATGCCGACTCAAAGGAACACTTTGATTATGTCTAAAATCTGGTGTGCATTTTAAACCTATTACTTTGGGCATACAATCATATTATGCACATGGGCTTAGGTGAAACCCACTGATGTTTCATATTTTTCTATGGGTGAGGCAGGCAATTTGACTAGAACCCTCTACTGGAAGGTTGTTTATTTTGATAATTAAGGGTTCATTTGAATTTTCCTGCCTGCCTTGGTATTTGGATTTGTATCAATAAGTATACTTTTTGCCATATTTATGCAATTTCTTTTTATTTTTCTTTACAGTAGTAAAATCTGATTGAAATGATTGAAATCATTTCATTCTTTCATTTTAAGAAAAAAATGTTTATTACAGGAATGAAATCCTGTGAGAAAATAATAGTTTACCGTAACAAAGGATTATAGATATGGAGGCCTTAAGCTATATATTCTTTTTAAATTTACTCGATTGTTATTAAAGTTCCAATGCACATACTTTTAAAATTCAAATAGTATTACAAGGCTTATTACGAAAAATAGACCCCTTCCTCCATTCTCATTCTCCTGAAGCACTTTTAGCTTTTAGATGTTTTCTTTTGAAATTTACCTTCGTGCCTCCATATGGCATGCTTATAGTGCTATTCTTGATTTTCCCATTTGAGGAATTATCTACTGACTTCTCTACAGTAAGATGAGGATTTAGCTATTTTCCTCCTCCCACCTGTCCTACTTTCAACATATGTGTATGCACACACACCAATTTATCAATCCCCATCATCCCAATATAGTTACAGCAAAATTCTGTTTACATCCTTAGTGTCATTATTATGACTGTGCATACTAAGGGTACTGTGAGCGTGTTTCCTGCCTTAATGTGGTTTAGGAAAATTTGACCTTTGGGTGTAGTTGGATGTTATTTTACCCTAAAACTTTGAAGATATTGCTCCATTGTCTTCCAAGGTCCAAAGTTCATGTTCAAAAGTTTGAAATCGTTCTGCTTTCTAATCTTTCTCTCTGGAAGATTTTAGGATCTTCACTTTGTCTCCAGAATTTTGAAATTTCATGATGTGCCTTGGTGTGTGTTTTCCTTCATTTTTTTGAATATTTAGTATCCCTTCTTAATTTGGAAACTTAGATTTTTCAATTCAAGGATGTTTACTTGAATTATTTCTTTAATGTTTTTGGTCCAATTTGCTTTCTTTTTCTGTAGCACCCATTATTCAGATTTAGATCTCCTGGACTATTATCCAGTTTTCTTATCAATCAATCAATCATCCATCAGTCTATGTGGAGAGTGTATAATTTTCTTTTTTCACATTTCATCTTTCTATCTTGTGCTCTATTTTCTGGGAGTTTTCCTCATTTTTATCTTCCAGCTCTTTTATCGAGTGTCATATTTCTACCATTATGTTTTTAATGATAGACCAATTGTATTATTTATTCCTTTTGAAGAGCAGTGTTCTTGTTTCATAGATGGAATATCTTATACACACACACACAATTTATTTATACACACACACATTTATATATTTTTTTCCCCACAAATTTTTATTTCCCTGCGTAGTTACTATGCCCTCCAAGTTGCTTTTTTCTGTTTGGTTGTTTTGGCCTCTTATTTTCTCTGAAAGAGATGATCTCTGAAAGATGATCTGGATAGGGAACGTTTGTTGTCAGTATCTTTAGGTCTTTTATCTTGTTCTCCTCAGATTCCTAGGGAAGAATCTTCTAGTCTCCTGTGTGGAGGATAAACCTGGCTGACAGGTTCTCAGAACTCAGTGGGGGAAGAGAACTGGGGTAGTTGCTGGATCTTAGCATTTAGTATGTGTACCTTCCCTTGACTCCCAGTTCTCAAAACTGTAACCCTGCCCTCAGTTGTGCTGGTGCCCTTTAATCCAGGTGTTCTTTCTGGTTTGCTTTCATTGTCTGTAGGGGCATTGTCTCTACTTTCTTTCCTTTTTTCTCATAGTAATTTTGTTTGGAATTCAGCAATGAATCTTTTCTTTTTCAGATGAAATCAGTTCTTCTGAACTGTTTGGATGAGAAAGCCAAGCATTTCTAGCTTCACAGCTCTGCAGCTCCTTCTTCTGTTGTTTTCATGAGGCATTCAAAATATGGCCTTGTTCTTTGCTCCATCCCCTTCCCTCACTGTTTTGGACCTTGTCTTTCCTTTGTTGCCTTTGTCCATGTTCTGCTCAATTTGTATTCTATTCCCTATGGTCTCTCCTGGTTTTAGGGTTGTCCTGGTTAATTTTGAGAGTTCATAGGGCCCAGACTGCTCTAGCCCTTCCAGATTGTACCCAGCCCCCTCGCACTCAGTGTCTGCTGCTTTCCTCGAGTTGCCATTTTAGTAGAATTTTAGAAGTGAAGGAGATAAATGCGTATGTTCAGTGGAAATTACTATATTCTTTTATTTAGTGTATATGTTTCTTATGGTGGCAATATTTAATTAACCACATTATTAAAAATTATTTGGAAAAAATATCTTTTTATGTTAAGTCTTTGTGAATCCTATGGTGTATGATTGGTATGAAATGGGCTTCAGTACAGAAACTTATTTATTATAGGCTCCCGTGGCATTGGTATATTATTAATAGCTCTGAAACTTGGTATAATAGTCACCTTTCTTTCTTTCCGGATGTCTTTGAAATGGATAAAACTAAACTACATCTGATGAAATTCTGTGGAGACATTGTATACTATATAGTCTTTCTATCAAAAATTAAATTTGTAAGCTCTTATGACCTGCTTGAAGACTTCGGTTATTCTCAGCCAGAGGGAGAAATAATTTCCAGAAATATTTTTACAATAGGAGTTAGATTATTTTTAGAAATACCATTTTTGTTTCATCCTCTTTTTCTGTTCTGCTTAGAATACTTTTTACATTTACAATGTTTTAATGAGTATACATTCATGTAACAAAACTTTTGGTAGGTATTTCCAAGAAATGACAGGTTGGATTTTGTTTTTAGTTTTTTCAATGTTTTTGTGAATGACTAAATGGAGGTTTGTTTTAATCATCTTTGTATCCCTACTGCCTGGGATGTAGTAGGGATTCAGTAGATCTTTGAGCTGAAGTTATTGCCAAAATTTGGAGAATCAACTCACCTGAATATAGCAGTTTAGAGTTGTGAAAATAAAGATCTACCTTGGTAGTTTCGGGTCCTTTACCTTGAGGTAAATAAAGCCCAAGTATTAGTCATGTTCATCTGAGCCAATATATAAGAATATATTGGTTCTTGCTGGTATAAGATGTTTCTTTAGTATTTCTAAAATTTAAATTTTATATATATAGCTGAAAAAATTCTACAGTGTATATATATTGCAAAAATTATAGCTAATGGTAGAAACATCCCCAGACTCAACTTTATTATATTTGACTAATGCTGGTGGAAGTTTAGCTGTTATATATATCAAGGTGATTCAATTAACATAGGATGTTTGAGTTCGACAAAAAAAGCATCATTGTCATCATTGCTTTGTCAGAAAGCTTCTGTAACAAAAACTGTGAAGGCTATTCTTAATCTCCCTTCAGTGACTGTCAAATTCTTTGTTACACCTGCTCAGGAAGGCTCTCTGACTTCTTGACATGGAGGGCAGCAGTAAGAAGCTAAGTTAGGAATGAGTGTTGACTTGGGCACAGCTAGGATTAGCGTTGGGTTCTTAAAATGCTGCAATTCCTAATTCATTCTCTTTAGAATTACAGTCACTTCCAGTTGTTCTCCTGAGGTCCCCGTGCTCACATACAGGATTCCCTGCTCCTGCTATTCTGCTTCTGTGAATGAGCATTCTGAGACAGGAGCTATGGAGAAACCTGAGAGCCAGGGCTGGGTGGAGAGGATGGCTGCCAAATGCAGTGGATAAAGGAATAAAGAAAGGGGAGTAAGAGATATCATTTCTTTTACAATATTGTCTAAGCCTGATAGGAAAAGGCTTAAAGACATTTCTACTGTTTAACATTCATCAGTTAAAAGCTAGACCCAGAATGTTACTAATGTGCATACCTGTGGTCATGGCTGATTTTTTAAAATCTTTTTGTTCTTTTTAAGCCTGCCTGATTGTCCACACCTAAGAAGGTTAGCTTCTCCAGGCCTGCTGGGCTGTTTCTTAAATACCTCCTGACCCTTTTTCTTTACGGTTCCTTCTGCATAACTTATGCTCCAGCCAGACTGAACCATAAGCAGGTCCCTGTAATCTTTTCATATTTTCTTGCTTCTGTACTTTAACTCCAGTATTCATTCCCTTTGAAGAGCCCTTCTCAGTTTGTGAATCATACTTCCAACTTATTCCACAAGCCTACTTTGAATGCACTGTCTCTACCAAATCTTCTGTAAGGAATTGCTTTTTTGAGTTCCATAGAACTTTAATGTGTCATTATATCTTCTATTGTAGAATGTTTTTTAATTTTCTTTTTCTTTTTTTTAGGTTTTATGTCTCATTTTCTTTGCTAAACTCTTAAGTTTCTTTATACTAGATCCTTGTTTGATTCTATTTGCCTCACATATAGGTGCTAAATAAACATTTGTTAAATAAGTTAATTTGAAGTCAAGAATTAACAAGGCTGTAAATACAGTTGCTCTTGATTTAGTAATTAAGAGATGTTCTTTACATGGACATGGCATAGAAATAAATTTTTGTTCTGTTTACCTCCGTGCCTCAGATATGTTTGTATGCTTATTGGGTGCCAGTTACTCATATTAATTCAATTCCCTGTCCTTCCCTTGTGTCTGAGTAGCTCTTCCTGAAACTCCTTCTGAAAAATAATGCCCTATCCCTGCTTCTGTCAATTTGAGGGTTGCATTAGGGGATAGCTGAGATCTCTGAAGCTTGTAAATTCTATGACCTGGTTTGAAGCCGCTTTGATCAGCTGACCTTCCTGGGCAATAGGACCGGCTTTAGTGGAGCCAGAATCTGTAGACTTGCCCAGCTTGCAGGTTCAGAAATCTGTGAATATGTAATTGGGATAATTTTCTCTGGAAAATTTAATCAGATGGTGAGCTCACTGGCATATTTTGGCTTTTCTCTATCTTCTGGTATAATTAACTATTCTCTAAGCAACTGAAGAAAACAAATTTTATTTAAGAGGAAAAGTATTTTATTTTGCCCCTAGTCAAGTTAATTAACCCCAGCTTTTCTCTGTCTGTAAAACATAGGACACCGTATTTTTCCTTGTTACTCTTCTTTGTTTTACTGAAATGCCATGAGGATAAAAAACTTTAGACAAGAGAGTGTACAACTCCCTTCACCCCTCCAATGGGAGAGTGTGGGGAAAGGTTATTAATAACAGAGTTATTTTCTTGACTTTCAGGTGTGGAATTGGCAATCAGAGGAGTATGTCTTTCTGCAAGCCCATCAGGAAACAGTGAAAAATTTTAGGCTCTTGAAAAATTCAAGACTGCTTTCTTGGTCATTTGATGGAACAGTGAAGGTAATTTGAAGCACAGGTTTGTTTTCTTAAAAAGTATTCAGATATTGCAATGATTATATTTTGATAGCCGAAAAGCACATGGATGTTAAGTAAGTATTTAAATTTTTATTTTCTTATGCCTATATTCTGTTCACTGCAGTCACCTATATCTTCTGTGTGTTTGTGTTTATGCTAACAGACACTTAGAGGGTTAGAATAGCCAGTGTGCTGAAGCTCTTGTTTTATAGATCTGTCTTATAGCTGATCATGCTTTTTAATACAAAATGTTCTTAAAAGTGTCAACTTCTAGGTTTTGGGTTTTTTTTTTTAAGGTATGGAATATTATTACTGGAAGAATGGAAAAAGACTTCATCTGTCATCATGGTACGGTACTTTCTTGTGATATTTCTCTGGATGCTACTAAGTTTTCATCTACCTCTGCTGACAAGACTGCAAAGGTATGTCAATTCATTGAAATATCCATACATAAAACTTTGATATTGGTTATGTATTATGAGTCCAAATAATATATAAAACAAAAACAGCAAGAATTGCTGTCTACGTATCTGTCTCTGTCTCATATTTTATGAGCTTTTGGAGTATGCCCATTGACATTTAGTTGGTGTCAAAGAGATTAAGTGAATGACACTGAGGACTTCTGATTTCTCCCTTATGGATTACTTTTTGTCTATAACTAATCAGACAGAATCTCTGCTGCATAGCATAGGCAATAAAAATTATTGAAACGAATTTGCATTTGATTACATACCCACAGTAAAGTTTTTATATGCTTCTGGAAATCACATTCCAATGAATGACGCTGCTTAGTTGAGGTCTTTGAGTATTTCACTGTTTTATTTTCCATCTTTGTTAATGGTATCATTATCTCTCTGTCTTTCCAAACTACAACCTTGGAATTGTCCACTGACAATTCTATCCTGAATTTTCATGCTGTGTTTATTAATCCTCAGTGTCTCTTAGATTTGTCTTCTCTTCCTTGTCCCTACCCTTAAGACTGCCCTCTCCTCCCTCTTCAGTTGTGGACTGTCCCCACATCCCACCTCTGGTCTGCACCAGCTCCACTGTATGTTCCATACTGCTGCCTGCATCTCCCGTAAAACATCTGTCACCCAGTGGTTTATAGGCCAACTCCTTAGCTCATCGCCATCTTTTTCTGCTATATTGTTTCCTCTGTGCCAGCCTGCTTCCTACCTTCATCTTCTTGTGTGTGCTGTTAACTTTGGTTTGACACAAACCTCTATTCCTTTTTTACCTCGAGGCACTATGACTCATCCTTCTAGACCTAGATTTGCTGTCAGTTCTTCTGTGAAGCCTTTCCTGACCCTCAGGCAGGGTTAGCTGCTATACCTTCAGTGTTCCCATTACATTTTATTCATGTTTGGTAAAGCATTTACTTTATACAGCTGTCACTCACTGTTCATGAGCCTGTCTTCCTAATTAAACTATAAACTTTCCAAGGATAGAGACTGTATCTAGTTCATCTTCATACCACCAATTCCTTAGCTCACAGTGCCTGGAGCATGGTAGTTTTCAGTATGTGCTTGTTAAATGGTGATGATAAAACCACAAGAGAGAATATTGGAAGGAAGAGAAGGAAGGGTATTTGGCTGCTAAGATAGTAGATTAGTATATTGACTAACCTTTGAAGATCACTTGCCATGTGCTAGGAATTTCATTTTCTATAATCTCATTTAATCTTCACACCATAGGTACTATTGTCCCCATTTTACTAATGCAAAAACTGAAGCTAGAAAAGGTTATATGAGTTGTTCTAGGTCACAAGGGATCTAGTGAGCAGTGGAGCCAGAACTCACACTCAGGTCTGCTTCATTCCACATACTGCTCTTAACACATTCAGTGTTCTTCCTTTTAAGTCTAAAGATAAAGAAGCTGTGACTTTGATCCTTCTAAAGGGAAACTCAGAAAAATTAACAAGGTTTCAGGTTGGAACTTGGGCATCTCAAGAAAGTTTATAAACTGTCAAATATTGAAACTTCCATGTAATTGAATTTATGGCTAAATAGTACTCAAGGCAGGGTTTGCAGATGCTTATTTCAAGTGCATTTACCATTTCTAAACAGTCTTAATTGCCTTCCAGATTTGGAGTTTTGAACTCCTTTCCCCTCTTCATGAGTTGAGGGGCCACACCGGCTGTGTGCGCTGTTCTGCCTTCTCTGTGGACAGTACCCTGCTGGCGACTGGAGATGACAATGGAGAAGTCAGGGTAGGGTGTTTGCTGATATGAGAGCACTGCTCTTCCTGTAGCTTGGGCTAGCACTCTTCATCACAGTGGGAACCTTTGTTCATGGGACAGGGAAGCACAGGCCCTGGGGTCTGGTTGGATGAGGCATTCTTTGTTTTGTTTCTTGTGTATGTTGTATTCACAGCTGCACTCCACTGCAGAAAAGAATTCATTTTAGAGTTAGAGTGAAGCATTTCCTATATATGTGAGGAAACAAATGCCCTAGTTATTTGCAGTTAGTTCTCTGCTGTTAGCATGAGAATGATTCATCTTAATTCTTGGACTTGAAGCAAAGGTAGTTTTTAGTGACAGAATTTGAGGAAAATAATTTTGTAAATCATTGGGTTATAAATGAATTGAAAATTGAGCTGTTTTCAGTACTGAAAGAAAAGATCTCTTTAGCACGATACCCATTAGATAGTCATTTCTGGGGTGGTTTGCTGCAGTCCTCTTTGGACTGTACTACTTCATTAAACAGTGCAGAGGTTCACATTCCGTCATGGGGTGGGCAGTGAGGGGCTCCGTACAGAGCCAGAGTCTGCTGGATAGGCCGATTTTATTACCCTGCAGTGCTTAAGACAGACATTTAAACCATGCCAATTTTATTCAGAAAACAATTTTTCTAGGAAGAATGGAATGCCGTTCTCTTTGTGTCTGTGGAAGTACAGTACAATATGGGAAATATTGCATGCTGAAAGATCAGAAATCATGGAAAAGCAGTTAGTCAACCTGGTTGTGTTAGAAGAATTGAGCAGTTGATTGGGAAAGTTTGGATATTGGGATGGCAGCTTTGGTAACCAATTATATATGAGGAAGGTGTTTTTTTTTTTTCTTTCTTTACAAAGGAGGATTTAAAACTCAAGGAATAAGTATATAATACAGAACAGGAGAGTATGCAGTTCGAAGGAATAGAGGTATTATCAGATAGGCTTTCCAGGAAAATTAAGATTCTCCTGCTTGAGGACTAAGTAACCACCTTCTCTGTACCATTCACATGATGCCGTGTCAGCTGAAGTGGCAGGCCTGCTTTGGGAACATTCATTTTGCTCTGAGTTCTCATCTTTGTATGAAAGTGCTCCTTTACTGGTTATGAGGCAGTGTTTCATTTTTCAGAAACCCTTGCAGGGAAAAATTGTCTCTCTTAAACTTTTGAGTGTTATTTAAAGAATTTTTGTTGGTACATTAAAAAAATTTTTTGCTATGTGATTATTCAGAATAGAGGAAAGCTGTTGATTTTTGTATATATATCTAGCTATCTATCTTACTGAACTCTTTCTAATGAGTTTTTCCATTTGGTTCTCTTGGATTTTTCAGAGAGACATTTGCAAATGATTTTGGTCATTTTCTTTTGCTATTTATGCCTTTATTTCTTCTAATTCTGATGTGCATTTCTTTGAAAAATTAGAATACTGCTTATATATTAAGTGTCACGGGAAATAAATGGAAATATTAGCATCTGTGATTGGGTTGTTTATAAGAGTCTAGTAAAATAATCTTAATATGTATATATTTAGAACCTTATAGGGACTTACTTAAAATGCATATATTTTAGGTGTTTGACATCCATCAACATTCTTGGTGTTAGCTGTTGGACTAGAATTTTTGGTTTTTTTTTTTTTTTTTGAGGAAGTTTATATATTAGGCCTTTTTTGTTTGTTCCTTGTTCCTCCTATCATTCTTTTAGTTAAATGGAAAGAGTCAATATTCTAATCAATTTCTCTAGTCCTTTTGTTTTTTAGGAAGGTTTTCAAATATGTCCCAGATGATATATATATTTTTTAAAACTAGAGAAGCTTGTGGGTAACTCATTAATGAATTATGTATCATGTTTATGTAGGTATGGAATGTCTCCAATGGTGAGCTTCTCCATTTGTGTGCTCCGATTACAGAAGAAGGAGCTACTACCCACGGAGGCTGGGTGACTGACCTTTGTTTTTCACCAGACAGCAAAATGCTTGTCTCTGCTGGAGGGTATCTTAAGGTAAGAATTCCTCAAGGACTGCGAAAGAAAAGAATACCCTGTATCGTACTTTCCAAGCTATTCTGAGTTCCTGTTTCTCATTTGGGCCTCCTACAACCACGGAGAGTAAAAGGGCAGTTACTATCATCCCTGTTTTGCAGGGATGCAACTAAGGTCTGCAGGGCTGCTTTCGTCATATCTCTTGAAAGCTTTGGTGACAGTGTTAGGGATGCTCTCAGTCCAGAACTCTCATACTGCCCCATACAGAACTTGGATGATCAGAATCACTAGCAAGTGTGGTGTTTAACTTAAGTCTGTTTTCCGTGTTACTCATTGTTAACTATTTTGGTTGAAATTTTTTTAAAAAATGTATTCGTGAAATTTCCTTCCTTCCGTAATATTAATAACAGCAGCACCATATTGTTTTATAGTTTACAGAATGCTTTACTTGCATCTCATTAACCAGCTTTTGTGAGGCTTAAATTTTCTTATCCTTGGTTTATAGATGAGGACATTGATTTTCATGGAGGTGGTGACTTTCCTAAAATTATATAATTAGTAAATAGAAGACCCAGGACTCAAACCCAGGTCTTCTTCTGCCTCACTTTTCTCTAGCAAGTTGACTTATGAAAACTTACTAGTGACTGTTGAGGTCAAGGCTTGGGTGTGTTGTGGTGCTTCAGGGTTATTTTTTGGTGCTTGCATCTATTTATAAATCCATTCAGTAAGATTGTGCTGAATGCCCACGTGTGCTAAGATACTGCTGTGTGGCACAAAGTTTAAGGCTTGATTCCTGCCCTCTGGCAGCTTACAGTTTATGGGGTAAGCAGGTGGTAAACAAATAAAGTCCCTAAAGTATAGGAGGGATCTGGGACACATTTGCATGGGGATGGCAGAGGCACAAAGAGGAGGAGTGAACAGGCCTCCCTTAGGGAGTTAGCAGAGGCTTCAGATGGAGGGGATGCTTGAGGTGAGTCTTCTGAATAGTGGTTTACCTGTAAAAGAGGTAGAACATAATACTATACATTGTACTGACCACTTGGACATTCTAAAACTTGTTTATTTAAAATAGATGCCTAATAAGATCTTATGGTGGTACTGTTGTTTCTTACTGAAAAGATTCTGATTAATTGTCTGACACATATAGATATTCAGAAATATGTGAATGAATGAAGTTTTTGGTTATATGACACCCATGCAGTTGCAATTTTACTCACCATAAAAATATAGCTTATAAAAAAGATAACGTAGATTACAGTTTTTAGCTTTATGAAAGGATGTACTAAGGGTTGCAAAAATACAATTAGATAGAAGGAATAAGTTCTGGTATTCAATAGTACAGTAGGGAAATTATAGTTAACAGTAATTTATTGTGTATTTCAAAATAGCTAGAAGAGAAGAATTGTAGTGTTCCCAAAACAATGAAAAGATAAATGTTTGATATAATGAATATCCCGTTACCCTCATTTGATCATTACACGTTGTATATAGGTATTAAAATATGACATGTACCCCCAAGATGTGTAAAACTATTATATCTCAATAAAAAATTTTTTAAAAAGGATATACATTAGGATCCCTTTACACGGTTGCATTCAAAACACAATTCTGTTTACAAAATATTGCATTAACCTATACCTTTTTGGGCACACTTTTATTTAGTTGTTAGGGGATCCTGAGACATGACCACCACTTGTCCTCCTTTAGTGTAAGATAAACTGGAACTCTTTTTCTGCTCTGAGGATGATGCTTAGAGGAGAGACATTGCTGTCTGTGTGTTGGGAGCTGGGAGTTTTCAGCTGTATTAGCTGCTGAAAAACTTTACTGCTCAGCTTTGACACCAATCTTCTGGAGACCATGTCATTTAATTCCCTGGGCCCCATAGAATGCTATCACATAATTGAGAGTCTGGCTTATAAGATGCTATAAAGATCAACAACTAGCTTTGCAGAGTTCTTGGAGAACCTTGAAATAAAGCAGCAGAATAGATATTCATACTGTAGAGGTTATGTCTTAAGGGTGAAAGAACCAATAGCCTGTATATTTAGTCTGTATATTTAAGTAACATCAGGCTGCTTTTGCCTTCTGGTTTGATTACCAGCATAGTTACGCTGATTATGATATCGCCCAGCCTGCATCTACCCAGCATGTTAATGAGACTATCCAAAAGCACAGAGCAAATTAGAAGTAAAAAGGAACAGCTGCTGTAGTGTCCAAGAAAATAGGCCTTTTGAGTCTGTTTACTTTAGAATCCAAGCTGTATAAACTGAGTGTCAGGAAGATAAAGTAGGTATCCAGTAGCTACAAAGGTCTTAACTTCCAAAATTATTCCTATTAGTGAAAAAATAATTTAGCTGTTTACCTATGTTGTACCACAGGGTAAATCCTGTTAGAATGACAAGAAATTCACATTAATTCATACTCATGTAGGGAAAAGCTGATTTGAAATATGGAATGCATGATGATAAATGGTGGTGTGCCTTGACTTAGAGGCATCAGCGTATAATGGTCAGGAGAATGGGCCTTGAGGCAGACTGCCTAAGTCCAAAGCCTGGCTCTGCCACTCAGTAGCTTTGTGACCTTGCACAAGGTTGTTTAACCTCTCTGTGCCTCGATTTTCTTGTCTCTAAAATGGGTATAATAATAATACCTAGCTCTTACAGAGAGGTATACCCTCTTTCCCCACACATATACCGCTTCCCCATTATCACTAATCTCCACCAGAAATGTACATTTGTTACAATTGATGGACCTACATTGACACATCATTATCACCAAAGTTCATAGTTTGTATTAGGGTTCATTCTTGGTGCTGAATATTCTTTGGGTTTGGACAAATCTGTAGTGACATGTATCCACCATTGCAGTATTATACAAAGTAGGTTCACTACCCTAAAATCCTCTGTATTAGCTGCTATTATAATATCATTGATTTTTTAGTCCATATTCAAAACAGTGGCTGGTGTAGCATTTCCAAGTAGAGTGGTCTGTTTTAATAGAGGGAAAGGAAGTGGGAGCGCTGGATTAGGAAGCCAGAAACTGTTCCATCTCTGCTACCTGCTAGCAGTGTCCTCTTGGGGGACAAGACTTTTCTTCTCTGAGAATCTTAGTTTCCTTATTTGTAAAATGAGGTGGTTAGACTAGGTGATCTCTAAGGGCCTTATTGACTGAAAACTAATGAGTCTTTTCTCAGGTTGATAAAATGTATCCTCTGCAATCTTGGTTACATTGTTATTTTGCAAAGCAAATTGGTCAGTTGTGAAAAATCCCAAGTCAGTGCATGCTGCTTCAGTGAGCTTTACCAAAGTCCATGGGGTATACCTTTACCAGTTATTGTTACTCACAGTAAACATGAATAGTTGACCCTGTCACATGTGCAAGGCAGAATGCTAGGCCTACCATGGACACAAAGGTGAGTGACATTACTCTGTTCATAATACTCAGAATCTTGACGTACCTGAGGGCCTTTCAAAATATGTTTCTGTGTATTGTCTCTTGCCCTCATTTTAGTTTTGAGATATATGAGTAAGCTTTATAGTCTCCATTTGGTAAATGAATGTAAATATTGTTGTAATCTTAGTGAATTCAATGATTGGGAGGGAAAGGAAGGACTTGGCTAGAGCACCTGCTACATTTGAGATGTTCAATATTTACTTAATAAATAAATATATAGCCTATTTTATAAAGAAGCTTGGCTCACTCCTGGTGAAGTGGAAGAGTCAGTGGAGAGAACATTCTGTCCTACAGCTTCTATTATTGATGGTCTGGGTCTCTGTCAGAACACAGTCCATGTCTGCAAAGGGGCATGTGAGTGAAGAGAGGGGCAATTTTCTGTCCATTCCACTGAGAAGGACATGCACCAGGAGAGCCCAGTCCAGTCTCTGCTGTATGGACTCTGGGTGGCTGCAGCTCTCTCAAGCAGCACACTTTGCAGTGGAGTAAGGTGTAGGCGTAGCTGTGAGGCCATTGCCAGGTTCATCAGGAAAGGCTGATCAGGTTGATAATACAGTTTATTCAGCATTAACCCTGGACTTCTTTCCTGCTGTTTGCTTGAGTTTGGGAGTGAGGAGGAGATAGGGCAAAGGATCTGGTTGGCACTACAAATTGTCACACAGAGTAATTACCGGTCTAATGAGAATTTTATTTTTCTCTGAACAGTGGTGGAATGTTGTCACCGGAGAATCCTCACAGACTTTCTACACAAATGGAACCAATCTTAAGAAAATACATGTGTCCACTGACTTCAGAACATTTGTGACTGTTGATAATCTTGGTATTTTATATATTTTACAGATTTTAGAGTAAAATAGTTAAGCATTAATGTAAGTTGAACTCTTTAATTTTGAATTGAAAAAAATTTTAGTGAACCTCTCTGTATATCAACTTTTTATAAAGCTGTGAATTGTTTTGCAGTATTGCATTAATTATAGGAATATTTGTGGTTGGATGAATAATATTGTAGCTTTTTCCCAAGTGAACACACCTTTAATTGTTTTTTATAATCATCGTCATTATTAACAGTTTGTCCTTAAGATGCAAATGAAAATGTAAATACATACCTTGTTATACTGTTGGTAAAATTCTCTAGATGCATTGAAATTGGTTGACATAATTAATGAGAAGAATTTGAAGGAAATCTGTATTTTAATACTGTCATCACGCAGGCTGTACCTCAGGGTAGCAGTGGCCTGCTTTCTGAACCACGCTTACCCCACAGGGGTATAGTTCTCCCAAATACAATCTTGCAGTTTACTTGCACTCTTTTTATTTGCTTTATAAATATTATATCTGTGGGCACAGTCTGAAACATTTTCCTTAATTGACTCAAGTGAGTCTTGGATTTCAGCAGTTCTTTCTATGAAGCAAAAACTATGAGTTGCAGACAGTACATTGTGTGGGTCTGCCTTTTTCTCCTGTCGCTGATGGCAGCCCTGTGCTGTCACTGGGCTCCAGTTGTCAGAATCAGAGTGGGGCACTATTCTGCTGTCTCTGGTTTCTTATATACCAGACTTCTTACTTGACTGAACTTGACCTTTCTTAATCCTCACTTTTTTCTTTTTTTAAAAGCAGTTGCTCCACAGCTAAGTGTTAGTAAATTGGAATAACTGGGGAGGAAGGGATCACTTTTAATCATATATTTTTCTAAGAAATGTGAAATAGTAAACATAATTTCCTTCTAATTCCATTTATTTTTGGATGAATGGCATTGTCAATGCTATTCTCTTTGTAGATTTCAAGAGAATTCTTTGTGGTTTTCTATGCAGTTCCAGAAGAGTCACTGTGCCTCTGGAAGATGTCAGCTTTAACCTCCAACCACCTTGTCTTCCTTCCCCTTCTCTCTCCTCCCTGCCTCCCAGTACTTTCTTCTTTCCTCTCTTCCTTTCCCTTTCTCTTCCCTCCAAGGTAATCAGGAAGGGTAGCTTTTCTTTTCACAGGGGAAAAACTCATCGGCATCAATAACTAGCTATCTGTGACCTCCTGATTAGGAACTGTAATCAAAGCTTAAATCTAAATGTTTTCCCTGAAATATATTATTAAGGGCAGTGGAGATAGATTAAGAATAGATATGATTCCCATATAAAAAATAATTAAAATTTGAAGATTTTTATTTCTGTAATAGGAACTAAATAAATTATTATTAATATTAATAGTAGATAATTGATGAACTTGTTTCCATTGTTGGTGAATATTAGATGTAGTATGGGTTAGGGCGAATAGACCACTCAGATGTATTTTAGATTAGATATTCCTATTCAGCATTTGATGGAACCATAAATACAGTGAATAAAATCTTTTACATAGTTAAGGAGGTTTTTGCTTTTTGTTTTTAAATGATGGGTTGACGAACTACTTTACAGGCTTACTGTGATTTAAGCAAATGTGATAAGTGAAAATCTTAATTTTATAAAAAGAAATTTCTGTAAATGGTATGTTCTGCTTAGAAGATCCAAGTCATAATTTTATTTGCCATTCAGTGTGTAGGGCCTCATCTGTAGTTTAAAGTATTAACTTTTGGAATGAAAAGCCACTGGCTGTTAAAGTGTCATAATAAACGTTGGCTTTTAAAAAGCTCTGATTAGCCCTTGTCTTAAAAAGAAGTAAAAGAAAAACAGAAAGGTGACATGAAAGAAGAGGCACCTAATATTAACGGAGCTGCAAATTTCAAGCAGTTCACAGGGTTGGTCAAAAGGGGGATTGTGTTGTAGCTTGCAGGTGAGCTTTTTAAAGCACTTTCCTGTGCTATATTTTTTTTTGTATTAGAAATTACATTGGACTTTGTATATATAAAGATTTTTTTACATTGTAATGTCTCTTGTATGTTTTGAAAACTGTTTTGTATTATATATAGCTTACGTGATCTTTTTTTGCCTTGGTGTGCATTTTAAAACGTGAATTTCAAACAATTTTATAAAAATAAAATTCCTAAAATTTTTTTGAAAAACATTTTTGGATTCTTTCAGACTGTTTGTCATTTATCTGTTGATTAGAAGACTGATGTGAAAGATTCAAGCTAAATACGTGAACCTTTCTATCTGTGCTGTATCAGCTAAGTGTAAATTCAATTCTATCAATATTTTCTGAGTGTCTCCTCAGTGTGTCTCTGTGATGGTTGCTGCCCGGTGTGGCTGGCATGGAGAAGATCCTGTAAAAAAGAGAATTCATTTATTTATTTTTTCATTCATTTGTTCAATAAATATTTATTGAGATCTGCTCTGTGCATGGCATTGTCGTAGGTACTGGGGATACGGGAGGGACCAAAACAAAGTCCTTGTCCTGCACTTGGGGGCCAGGGAGAAGCACAGGTGTTGTGTGTAAATGGGGGGAGGGGTTCATTCCGAAGGTGACACTTGAGTACAGACCTGAAGGATGTGAGGGAGTGAGCCAATGTATCTATCTGGAAACGATTCCAAAGTGAGGGTACAGCAAGCACAAAGACTCTGGAGCGGGACAGGCTGGTGTATCCTGGGACGGCAAAGAGGCTGGCATGACTAGAGAAGAGTGAGCGAGGGGAATCTCACAGGAGAGGTGGGCGAGGGGAATTGGGGCAGCACTGGGGACTGCCTCCCAGGCCACGGTGAGGACTCTGGCTTTATCTCTGAGATGGGTGCTAGGCTAGGAGTTTGAGCAATGGTGTGATCTGATGTCAGCTTTAACTTAATCACCCCGAATGGGACTCAACTGGGAATCAATTGAAAAGGGGACCGATGAGAAGCTTTTGTAATAATCTGGACAAAACAAGAGGGCGGCAGCAGTAGAGGTTGTGACAAGTTGGATTCTGGATATATTTTGAAGATAAGAGTTAACAGGATTTGCTGATGGATTGGATAAAGGTGAGAGAGGCAAGACAAGAACGATGCCAAGGTTTTGGCCTGAGCCAGTGGAAGAGTAGAGTCACTATCAGCTGAGATGAAGAAGATTATGAAAGGAGCACGTGTTCAGATGCGGAAAGCTTAGGGTGCCCATTAGACATCCGAGTGGGGGTGCAGAGTAGGTGGGTGGATAAAAGAGTCTAGAGTTCAGAAAAGGCCATGCTGGAGGTAGAGATCAGAGTCACCAGTGAGTTGATGGTATTTGAAATCACAGGACCGGATGAAATCAGCAGTGAAGCAGGTGTAGACAGAAAAGACACGAGGCATCAAGACTGAGTCCAGGGCAGTCTGGAGGTTAGTGCGATGAGGAACCAGCACAGGAGACTAAAGAGGACCAGCAAAGACTGAAAATGACAGTTTTAGTGTGGTGAGTGCGTGCAGCCGGCGTCATCTTAACTCAACGTCATCTTGGGCAGATTATCAGTTTGTCCACACCTCATCTGTCTTGTATGCCATGAGCATCTACTATGTACCAAGCACTATTTTAAGCAGTAGACAAAACAATAAGTAAATACATTTTAGCTGTTATGAGATATGGGGTCAACAGGTGATAAGAAAATAAGCCGATAGCAGCAGTTGTCTTATCTGTGAAATGAGGATCTGTCCCTCCCTCAGGGTTGTGGTGGGATTTAATGAGATATTCTTATCTCACTGCCTGCACCAAGACAGTGCTCAGCGATCTGTGGTGTCATTTGGGCTCCCTCATCTTTGCCTGGCGACTGCCATCTCTGCCTCTAGTCGTGCCCCTCTGCGTGATCCTTCCAGAGTGCTCATCTGCGTCATGTTTAACGTCTCTGGTTAAACTTTAACCGTGTTTACACATCTCTGTTTCAAACCCTGGACCTGCTCTGTGTTTGCTTCTGGAGCTCTGTGTGCGCGGGTCTCTCTTCCACACTGTCCCTCTACCCTCAGTTTCTTTGCCTCCTAACTCCTTACCCTTCACATATTCTTTCTGACCACCCTCAAGGGCCGAAGGTCTGGCCGGCCCTCTCCTCGCACTCTCTTTTGTCTTGGAATGGCTTGTTTACTTATGGGGTCCCCAGTAGATTGTAAGCTCCTTGGAAGCTGGATCTGCGCCAGAGTCTCACACGTGAGCCTGACACGTGGTTAGCATCTCAGGAAACACTTGTTGGGTGACTGAATTCCTGTAAGCCCGTGCGCTTCTCGCGCATTCTGTGTTCTCCCCGTCCACGAAGATGTTGTGAGAGGCTGTCAGATGAAGAGGTAGCATATCACCAGCATTTTCTCTACCTTCCCGTTTTAGTTTGGCATTTTACTGTGAAACATCATTAGGGAAAAGTAAAACTTTACTTGGATGAAAGAGGTTTGCTACCAAATTATATGAAATGAATAAACACATCCCTGGAATGTTTCAGTAAGCAAGTATGTCCGTCTATTATTCAACAAATGCTTTATATTATTTTATATTATAATTTACCTTACTGACCTTTACAGGAGGAGAAAATGATTTTGTCATAATTCTTAGTCTCCGAAGATTGTCACTGGAACAGTCTTTGCTCAAATTCCTCCCCTTAGGACTACAGATATACTATACAGTTATTAAAATGCCAGTATTAGATCATCAGCTGCTCTTGGGCTATGAGTTTAACTATAGAAGAATTATTGTGTATGTTCACATGGAAGGGGCAGAAGAAGTGGGTCAGACATCGGCCCCTCAGAGACCAGGCTTTTGTAGTCATTTGGCATCGACAATGACTTGCTCCCGAGTCAGATGAAGTTGTAAGAAGACCAGAACTTGGGAAATTTTCATGTCAATTAGGATTCAGGAGAATGAATTGCCGGTGTTCATTGTAAATTCATTTATGAGGTCAGGCCCTCAGAACTGGGAATACTGCTTATCACGTGGAAATGAATAGAAAATCTGCCTCTGTAATTTCCCATGACCCAGAGCTAGAATATATAAGTAGAGAGGGCATTCGAGGCCTGCGTTTGGGGCCGGGGTTCTGAGCAATTGATCAAACTGGAAAATACTCAGCAGGCGAGTGGAGACTCCTGCTTAGTACCAAGGTGGCTGTTCTGAGGAGTGGGAGCAAACGTCCGCATTCATGCATTCAAATACTTATTGCTTGTCCACTCTGGGCACTGCCCAGCCCTCATTTTGTCTTCACAGTAGGTGAGTGGATTTGCAGACTATGCCTCTCCAGTTTTTAGAAGAAGAACCAAACCCCAGACAGCTAATCCGTGACAAAGCTGGGGCTAGAATCCAAATGTGATTTTCTTTATAGAAAGGCCCAGACCCACTGGGCTATAAGTTGAGTGTCACTTACAGTTGGAAGTAGAATACTCCTGGGTTTAGTGGCAGAGGAACTCCAGTCTAGGGGGTCACGAGGCTTGGGTTTTAGCAGGTGGGGAAGATCATTCATTAGCTTATATGATGAGTTTGGAGATGTTCTCATTTCTAATTCACTCTGAATTAGCAGTGATTCTGACCCCGTCACCTTGAGTTTATTTCCCTGTTCTCTGTCAGTTAACTTTCTGAGACATAACAAATCCTTTTTAGGAGGAAGGAAGGGGAGCTACTATTTTTTGAAGGCCTTTTATGTGCCAAGCCCTGGGCCAGGCACTTCCCATACATTATTTAATTGAATCCACACAAGGATTTATCTGCAAGGTGTCATCTCTCTTTTGTAGGTGTGGAAACAGGTGCAAAAAGGTTAAGTTACTGGGGCCCCACAGCCAAGTGGTGGAGCTGGGTTTTCAGGCCACAGCAATCTGCTCCTCTGGGTAACACTGTCTATACCTCGTCACCAACGCCCCTGAGCTGGAGGATCCAGGAGCATTGTCTCAGCTCTGCATTTCACTCATTCATTACTCATTTCACGCATTCACTTCATGCATGATGATGCACGCGTCAGTATTGAGCTCTCAGAGAAGACGCCAGACGCTGTCTCTGCTGCTGAGCAGCTTCTACTTTTGGTGTCTGATTAACCCATCTCTGTGCCTACAGATTGCTCTTTGGAAAAAGCAGCTGGGGACATTCTGATGGGAGCCAGTGGACGGCAGAGGTCGGGGGATGCATTAGATTTGCCAACACTTGGGGCCACTGCCCAAGCTGCTCTCAATTCTCAGATGATGCAAGCACTGAGCAGGGAAGGGGGCAGCCCTACTGTTGCCTTCCCCTTTGCAGGAGCTTGTTTCTACGTTGAAAGTCT